AGAGGCTTCTGGCACTTCTGCTGAGGAACATTTTCTATGATTTTCAGGGTTCAGTGTCCTTTGAGGAGGTGGCTGTGTATTTCACAGAGGAAGAATGGAGGCTGCTAGATCCCAGCCAGAGAGCTTTATATGTGGATGTCATGCTGGAGAATTCTAGGAATGTGGCCATTCTTGGTAAGGACCCATTTTGCTCTGGGTTTAGCTAATTGTGGGAAGTCTTTTTATCATCCAAACGCTGACAAAGCACGTTCAAGATTGAGGAAGAAATTCTGTTTTTTTATTTTGTTTTTTAACATTGTTGTTGTTAATTGCGAAGTCGTGTCCGACCCATCGCGACCCCATGGACAATGTTCCTCCAGGTCTTCCTGTCCTCTATCATCTTCTGGAGTCCATTTAAGTTCACACCTACTGCTTCAGTGACTCCATCCAGCCATCTCATTCTCTGTCCCCTTCTTCTATTGCCCTCAATCTTTCCCAGCATTAGGCCCTTCTCCAGTGAGTCCTTCCTTCTCATTAGGTGGCCAAAGTATTTGAGTTTCAACTTCAGGATCTGGCCTTCTAAAGAGCAGTCGGGGTTGATCTCTTCTAGGACTGACCGGTTTGAACGCCTTGCAGTCCAAGGGACTCGCAGGAGTCTTCTCCAGCACCATAGTTCAAAGGCCTCAATTCTTTGGCGCTCAGCCTTTCTTATGGTCCAACTTTCACAGCCATACATTGCAACTGGGAAAACCATGGCCTTTACTATACGCACTTTTGTTGGCAGGGTGATGTCTCTGTTTTTTAACATAATTCCAAATAAATGGAAAATTTGGTAGATGCTTCCATTGGTAGATGCTTCACAGGATTCTTTCTCAACTGAGCTTTTATTCTCATCTTAAAGTTTACTTATTTATCAGAGGATCATCATGTTGGAAAGGATTCGCCTTTGCACAGTTCAGGGGACACCAGCCTAAGAAACAAATGTCACACAGGCTAAAACTGGTTTTATAGTATACCTCTAGAAGCCAAAGTAGGTTCTTCTCCCTCTCTTGAAAGGGAATAATGGACTGTCAATGCAGACCAGACTAGGAAGTCAAAGTCATGCATGACAATACTACTTTTATTTGCAATAGTGGCGAATATCTGTAGGTTGGCTGTAGGATGAGGGTGAAGGTTCGTTCTCCGAGCATGTGGGTTGGTTTCTGAACGTTTCGTTACCAGGCTAGGTAACATCATCATCATCATCATCATAAAGTTGGAAGGGATCTTGGAGGTCATCTAGTCTTCAGCAGAGTTTAGGGCATCTCAGGAGATGCTGCAGTTACCAGCTGGGATTGCTTACCAGAAGTAGAGTAGAGTAGTAGAGTAGAATAGAGTAGAGTAGAGTAGAGTAGAGTAGAGTAGAGTAGAGTAGAGTAGAGTAGAGAATTGGAAGGGACCTGCTCATGCAGGAAACCCTATACCATTTTGGACAAATGGCTGTCCAGTCTCTTCTTGAAAACTTCCAGTGTTGGCGCATTCACCGCTTCTGGAGGCAGGTTGTTCCACTGGTTAATTGTTCTAACTGTCAGGAAGTTTCTCCTTAGTTCTCGGTTGCTTCTCTCTTTGGTTAGTTTCCATCCGTTGCTTCTTGTCCTGCCTTCAGGCGCTTTGGAGAATAGCTTGACTCCCTCTTCTTTGGGGCAGCCCCTGGGAACAACTGCCATCATTCTTACTCAATGCTGAGTAAAAAGGGTTGTGAGATTATCTGCTGAGAAATAATATTAATAATAGTAATGATAATAATAATAATAAAGTTGGAAGGGACCTTGGAGGTCATCTAGTCCAACACTCTGCTCAGACAGGAAACCCTACACCATTTCGGACAAATGGCTGTCCAGTCTCTTCTTAAAAACTTCCAGTGATGGACCATTCACCGCTTCTGGAGGCAGGTTGTTCCACTGGTTAATTGTTCTAACTGTCAGGAAGTTTCTCCTTAGTTCTAGGTTCCTCAAGGTCATTCCTTCTGCACGTTACAAGTTCTTATCCTTGCCGGAAATAACTCAATTTCAGTTTGTATTTCAAACATTGTATTTTCAGAAAGTTCTTGACGGGCCAACTTCGCTGTGGGACAGATAGGGCGGGGACTTATCAGATGTCCTTTTCCCTGTTACCTGAAATGTCCTCATGAATTTCAGCCAGTGTGTGACTATACAGTGTAGGATATTTCTGAAGATGCATTTGCTTGGATAAATGTCAAGGGATGAGACGAAGAGGCTACACCCACAGAAGGCACATTAGGATTTATAGATGGCATTTAACACCGGCGAGATTGGCCAAAATGCAATATGCGAGTGATAGTGGGTGCTCCTCGATACACCCACATTACACCTATCCTCCGTGAGCTGCACTGGTTGCCTATTGGTCTCCGGGTCCAATTCAAGGTGTTGGTTATTACCTTTAAAGCCCTATATGGCTCAGGGCCAGGCTATTTGCGCGACCGCCTACTACCTCATAGTTCCCTTCATCCGGTTAGATCCCACAGGCTGGGCCTCCTTCAGGTCCCGTCGGCCAAGCAGTGCCATTTGGTGGCCAAGCAGTGCCATTTGGCGGGGCCACGGGGGAGGGCTTTCTCTGTGATGGCGCCCACATCTTGGAACCAGCTCCCCCCGGAGATTAGGACCGCTCCCACCCTGTTGGTTTTCCGTAAGCTGCTTAAGACCTGGCTTTTCCGGCAGGCCTGGGGTTTATAAAACCTGACCCCTGGATGACTGTCTTTGCATTGTTTGTTTTGTTATGTTTTATATTGTTTTATTGTTAGCCGCCCAGAGTCCTACGGGAGTGGGGCGGTTTATAAATTTTAAAAATAAAATAAATAAATAAATAAATAAATAAAAACATGGACCCGAAGTGCTGGAAATGTAAAATCAGAGAAGGAACATTTTATCATATGTGGTGGCTGTGCCCTAAAGCAAAAAACTATTGGGAACGAATAAGAGATTGGATACAGGAGATAACGGAGGTACAAATGGACTTCAAACCGGAATTATTTCTTTGGGGCATAATAAATTTAAAGATTGAAAAACAACTCCAACACATCACTATACACATATTGACTGAGCGCGGATAGCATATGCTCAATGTTGGAAGAGTGAAAATGCACCCACAAATGACAGGATTATGTATAAAATCTTGGAATGTGCAGAAATGAATAAACTTACACTAGAATTAAAAGACAAGGAGGCGACAGAATTTTATGAAATTTGGAATAAATGTTATAATTGGCTAGAACAGAGAAAGAAAAAGATATAATTAATGATGTAAATAAAATGTAAATAAGATGTAAAGAATGGTTAAAATGTACAGCACTGTTCTGTTAAAAGAAAAGATTTATGTTTATGTATTTTAAACATATTGGTGTATGGTGTATGTATTTTAAACATATTGGTGTATGGTGTATGGTGAAAAATAAAAAAATAAAAAGGGCACTTTAGACTCAGCTCAGGAGTTCATGGCCACCGTGACAGCCAAGGGTCCATCCTGCTTATCCAATGCATAATATTTGTCACTTGCTTGACCTGTTGTTTTTTTTTTCTGGCTGTGCAGTGGCAAAGTGATCTGATTGGAGGGGAGATTTCCGTTTCTCCACTGTCATGGTCAAATCACCCTTTGCCACTCCGCCCTGGCTGACCCCGAGGCCTTCCAAGAGAGAGAGAATAGCCCATGTAATTTGAAGAATGTATGGTCTGACCTTCTTGGGAGGTAAATTTTAGAAGGCCTCAGAAGCCTTCTGAACAACCCGTATTATTTGAAGAACGATATAAAAGCCCTTGGGAAGAAGGGCTGTTGCCTCACTAGGGCCAGGCCAGCCATGCCTCGTCATCATCAGGAGGAAGACAGTGAACATCAGCCGGGGGCAACAGGGCCAGCAAGGATAGAGTGGCAAGGCCAGAAGGATGAGGGCAGGGGCAGTGTGTTAAGTAAGGTGAGCAGAGTGTAGGCCAGCAAAGTGGTGGAACAAGAGGAGTTTGAATAGAATTCTTTATTGGCCAAGTGGGATTGGACACACAAGGAATTTGTCTCCGGGGCATAAGTTGTAAGTGTAAATACAAATGAGTGATAAATCATGATCATGAATCGTGAAGTGGCAAAATGGTGGCTGGCCAGGTGTAGAGATAAGCAGGGGAGGGGAGTTGAAGCACCCCTGTAGTTGTGAGTGACGAGGGTCCACATTTTGTTTACATGATCACAGGAGCATTGAAACAGGTATCATTTTGGAGGCTGGGGATAACTACCATTTGTTCATTGCCGTTGTAACTTTGACGGCTGAACAAATGGTCTTATATTTAAGAGAACCACACAAAGAGGAGCCTAGCAAAGTCTTGGATATGCGGAAATCACAGGTGCACCATTTTCTAGGATGAAAGTAATGATTAACTTTTCTTTTTTTCTTTTCTTTTTTTCAAATTAGCTTATGGGCAGGAGCAGCAGAATAACAAGAAGCCTAGCATAGTGGTTTTCCAAATGATAAAGTCTGAAGAAGACACACTTGGAAATCGAGGACCATCACAAAGGAGTACAAAAAGTTGCCGAATGAATGAAGGAAACAAAATGTCTCCTGCGGGTCACAATGAAACCCGTGACCTCCCAATCCAGCAAATTCCCCAACGAGAAGCAGGAAAGTATCTCAGATGTGCCAAAAGAGACCGAGAGAAATCTGATTTCAGTAAACATTGTACAGTGCAGAATAAAGAGGAGGAACATGAATATGAAGAGGACAGACAAAGTTTCGATCGTATCTCTTCTCTTGCTCAACGTAACCCATCATATATCAAAGAGACGCCATACATATTTATAAATTGTGGGGAAAATTTCAGCTTGAACAGTCCTCTTATTTCCCATAAAAATAAGAAACCATATGAGTGTGCAAAGGAATTTAACCGGAAACAACTGCTTCTTTTACCCCCCAAAAATCCCTCAAGAGAGAAGCCTTATAAATGCCTGCAGTGTGAAAAGACGTTTACCCAGAAAGGTAAACTTAGCATACATGAAAGGATCCACACAGGGGAGAAAACCTATGAATGTCTGGAGTGTGGAAAGATTTTCACCGAGAGGCGTAAGCTTATCATACATGAAAGGATCCACACAGGGGAGAAACCGTATGTATGCCTGGTGTGTGGAAGAAAATTCAATCAAAGCGGTCAACTGACAAGACATCAGCGAACTCACACGGGGGAGAAACCGTATAGCTGCCTGCAGTGTGGAAAGAAATTTAGTGGAAGTTCCAACCTGATGATACACGTCAGAAGACACACGGAGGAGAAGCCGTATATATGTTTGGAGTGTGGAAAAAGCTTCCGTGACAACAGTGTCCTTGTCTGCCATAAAAGAATCCACACAGGAGAAAAACCATACCGATGCCTGGAGTGTGGAAAGAGCTTCAGTCAAAACAGTAGCCTTTTGCGACACAAAAGAATCCACACAGGGGAGAAGCCGTATCAATGCCCCGAGTGTGGAAAGAGCTTCCGTCAGAAAAGCAGCCTTTTGCAACATAGAAGAATGCACACAGGAGAAAAACCGTACACCTGCCTGGAATGTGGAAAGAGCTTCAACCAGAGCAGTCATTTTATGTGCCATAAAAGGATTCACACGGGAGAAAAACCATACAAATGCATGGAATGCGGAAAAGATTTCCGCCAGAACAGTAGCCTTTTGCAACATAAAAGAATTCACACGGGAGAGAATCCGTACCAATGCACTGAGTGTGGGAAAGGGTTTGGTAAGAACTATAAGCTTTTGCAACATCAAAGGATTCACACGGGGGAGAAACCGTACACGTGCAAGGAATGTGGGAAGAGTTTCAGTTGCAGCAGCTACTTTATTTGCCATAAAAGGATCCACACAGGGGAGAAACCATATAAATGTCCGGAGTGCGGAAAAGGTTTTAATAAAAGCAGCCATCTTACATCTCACAAAAGAAAACACACAGGAGAGAAGCCATACCAATGCACGGAGTGCGGAAAAAGATTTTCTTATAATTTTGTCCTCCGATATCATCAACGAACTCATACAGGGGAAAAACCATATGCATGCCTGATTTGTGGAAAGAGGTTCAGTGGGCGTTCAAACCTTAGAGTCCACGTAAGAATCCACACGGGGGAGAAACCACATAAATGTGCAGACTGTGGAAAGAGCTTCCGTAAGGACAGTAATTTCATTTGCCATAAAAGGATCCACACGGGAGAAAAACCCTACAAATGCCAGGAATGCGGAAAGGGCTTTACTCAGAACGCGAACCTTATCAAACACAAAAGAATTCACACGGGAGAGAAACCGTACAAATGCGCAGACTGTGGGAAAAGCTTCAACCAGACAAACCACCTTTCTCAACATGAACTAATCCATAAAAGAAGGAAATCATAATCTGAGAGCTTAATCCCAAATCGTGTTAGATTTTTTTTTTGTCTCCAAAATGAACAATAGAAATTGTGTATTATGTTGTGAAATATTGTTCAGTTAGAAGAGTAGCCTTATCAGACCGAAAGGAATCCATGGGGGAGAACCTATAGAAATACCTGAAGCGTGAAAAGGGGGCCTTGCTCCTATTTCCACTAAGAGGTTTTATTTTGTGAGGAACACTGGAATTATAGAGATGTTTTCAGTATTTTGTGAGGAACGCTGGAATTATAGAGATGCTTTCAGTACCCGCTCTGGCTTCTGTTTTTAAGAGAAATTGTAGGAGCAAACTCGCATAAAGATAAATACGTGAATTCAAGTAAGCTACATGGAGTTTAAATGTGCAGCGTGTAGAAAAAGCTGATTCATTTAGGAGAAACTTTTAACAAAATATACCATCGTAGATTGCAAAGTGGTTCCCCTCAGCAGAGAAAACTGGAAATGAACACGGAAAAAGTAGGGAGGGCTGAGACTTCTTCAAGATGGAAGCCTCCTTGTCATTACTTGAAAATGAATTGGAATCATTGCTATTCCCCCCCCCCCGATTTCTTTCCGATTAATAAAGAAGGTGGCTGCCTCAGGGTCCGTCATTTCTGAGGTAAGTGCACCTGTGGGTAAATGGCAATGGGAAAAATAGATGTCCTTCTTAGGATCACTCCACTATAAATCCAGTTTCTGCCATCCCTCTGGGCAATGCTAGGGTCTTCCAGTTCTCTGTAGAATTCCGTTGGTGGGGTATTCTCAGCCATCTTAGTGAATCAGAATAGAGCTAGAAGGGAGCTTGGAGGTCAAGCAGGAGACCCTACCAGTGTTTCCCAAACTTGACAATTTTAAGGCATGTGGACTTCAACTCCCAGAATTCCACAGCCAGCATTGCTGACTGTGGAATCATGGGAATTGAAGTCCACATGCCTTAAAATTGTCAAGGTTGAGAAACACTGTACTAGACAGTTATGCATGACACCAAACTTCCCCTTCCTGTTCTCCCCACTGAATGGATAGATTGACTTTCTCTATGTGTTGCCTGGGCCAGCTGATGCCTTTTGATCAGTGTGGAGTGAATTATGTTGCTGATCTGTTCACCCAAAAGCAAAGCCACAATATAAGCAGAATTTGAATTTATGCACATAAAAGAGGGAGGATTGACTGTGCCATTGTGGATATCAGTTTGACCCCGTGCAGATGCCCTTGACTGATAATACTGGAGCCGAATTTGAATTCGTCCATTATGTTCTCTGCAGTATTACTGGACCAGCTTGATATTTTTAATTGTTTCTTTTCTTCCAGCCTGCACCAGTGATAGTCCAGGTGATCCAAATTCTGCTGGCCCAACTTAGCCTTCTGAAAATCTGCTTGGGTTGGTAACTGCTGCTACCTGTTGAGGCTTAAATGTATATTCACAAAAAAATGTTCTATAAGAAAAAGAAAATGTGGCGAATGGAACACCTGAAAAGAGGAAAAAAGAAGCCTCCAAGAAGAATGCTGTCATAGAGCATGGAGTTGCGGTGAGGGTATTGGGAATGTTCAAGGAAATGTGAAAAGAATGAAACTGGAAAACGTGAAACCACAAAGTGGAGCACCCTGAACTAAATGAAGTGAATTGTACCAGGAAGGGCCAGCTGAACTTCAGTGGTTTTGAGAAACTCTATTCAAAGCAGGACCATCGAAAGCAATGCGGCGTCCATTCAGAGAGGATCCTCTGACTTTGTGTCCATAACTCATTAAACAAAGGTTTTTTCTGCCATCACTTCTCGTCCAGTCAAAGCAATGCTATCAACGTTTCACATGGGTGGCTGTTTCCCAATTGTTCTTTGATGTTCTTCAGTTTGGCTTTCAGGGCTTCTGCGCTCCCCAATTTCATTTTTTAATGGATGTTTTCTGAGGTTTTCGCGGGTGTTTGTATGTAGGTCTTTGGTTGTTCGGGTTTTCTGCTGCGTAAAATTGGAAGTGTCTTGGCGACGTTTTGATGAAGTCCCATTCGTCATCTTCAGGCTGGTGTTTTCAGCTTCATGCTTCAAGGAGCAAATTGCTCCTCAAAGCACGAAGCTGAAAACACCAGTCTGAAGATGATGAATGGGACTTCGTCGAAACGTTGCCAAGACACTTCCAATTTTACGCGGGAGAAAACCCGAACAACCAAAGACCTACATACAAACACCCACGAAAACCTTAGAAAATATATATATATATATATCTTGCCAAAAGATATATCTGGCCAGCACACAACAATAAATAAAACAACCAATGTAAAACAGATTACAAAAATCTGAAAAACTCACAGCAGTAACTATCATAAAAACAAAAATATTAACCATAGGCGGAGGATGGATAAAAATGGCCGCCCACTGCAATGGAGCTATTTATTGAGACAAATCTCTGGTTCCCTGGAAGGCCGAGGGCTGGCAGTATAAGCAAAATCTTGAGGGCCTTTCAAAAAATTAAAAGGAGTGGAGCAAGTATGTCAGGGGGAGGATGTTCCACTCTGTAGCAGAGAAGGCATGTTTCTTGGGTCTCGGCACATATAGGTTCCAAGAGGTAGGTACAGTATAGGTCAGTGATGGTGAACCATTTAGAGACCGAGTACCCAAACTGCAACCCAAAACCCACTTATGTATCGTCGGGTGTTGGGTGGGTGTGGCCCATTGGGTGGGCGTGGCTTTGGTGGTAACAGACTGGGTGGGACTAAAAAGTTCGATCAATTCCAACTTTGCAAAATCTTTTTTTTCCTGTGAGAAGTTGAAATTGGTTGATTGATTGAACCTTTTTTTTTTTTTTTTTTGCACACAGCAGCGGAGGCCTAAAGCGAAAAGGTTTTATAAAACCCAGCTGAAGGCCTCGGACTGGGGCGATGGCATGTGTGCCCACAGAGAGGGCTCTGCGTGCCACCTGTGGCACGTGTGCCATGGGTTCGCCACCACGGGTATAGGTGGTACCTGGCTCAATAGTAGTAACTGTGAGAGGGATCTTGGAGTCCTAGTGGACAATCACTTAAAAAGGAGCCAATAGTGTGCTGCAGCTGCCAAAAAAGCCAACACAGTTCTAGGTTGCATTAACGGATAGAATTAAGATCATGTGAAGTGTAAGGCCACACTTGGAATATAGCATCCAGTTTTGGTCACCATGATGTAAAAAAGACGAGACTAGAAAGAGTGCAGAGAAGAGCAGCAAAGATGATTAGGGGACTGGAGGCTAAAACATAGAAAACGGTTGCTGGAATTGGGTATGTCTAGTTTAATGAAGAGAAGGACTAGAGGTGACATGATAACAGTGTTCCAATATCCCAGGGGTTGCCACAAAGAAGGGGGGGGCTCAAGCTATTCTCCAAAGCACCTGAAGTCAGGTCAAGAAGCAAGGGATGGAAACTCATCACGGCGAGAAACAACCTAGAACTAAGAAGAAATTTCCTGATAGTGAACAATTAACCAGTGGAACAACTTGCCTCCAGAAGTTGTGAATGCTCTAATTGGAAGTTTTAAAGAAGAGATTGGACAACCAATTGTCTGAAATGGTATAGGGTTTCCTGCCTGAGCAGGGGGTTGGACTAGATGACCTCTAAGGTCCCAACTCTGCTATTCTATTCTAATTCTATTCCTATTGTAATTACATTACGTTACATTATATTATATTATTATATTCTCTATTCTAACGGCACCCTCAACGTGCCTTCTCTGCAAACTCTAATGGGCCAGCCAGATGTAACTGGGGACACAGTCCCTCAACACACAAGGGACTTTTTTTGTACCATCACACTCTGAAAAAACATGTTAGTCATTACTCTTTGTTTGCCTGACTGCGTTCCTCAGAGGTATTCTCTTCCCCCTTCAGACCAAGGGCAATTTTTGGGAAGAAGGGGAGCTGCCCATATTTAGCAGGCAGGAAAACAACCAGATTAAAAAGAATCCAGAGCTGAGATGTGATTTTACAAGATGGATAAGGAAGTAGCATCTTTGACACTGAAGGACATATTTCACTGAGGGAAGAAAAGAGTTTCCTTATTTAGAGGAAAAGCTTTAATTTTGTGGCAGTAGAGGAAGTCTGCTGGGAAAAAACGCTGGAAAAAAGCAAGATTTAACATCTCAGTTGGAGAGACAGTTAAGTCTAGTGGTTAAAGCACCAGGCAAGAAAGCAGACGACTAGTCCCGTCTTAGCTGTGAAAACCAGCTGGGTGACTTTGGGCCAGGCACTCTCAGCCCAACCTACCTCACAGGGTTGTTATGGAAATGGGAGGAAGATGGTGTGTAGGATAGGTTTGCTGTATTCCATTATTTGTAAACGGAACAGTGGGACACAAAATAAATAAATCTCCCCTGTGCATGACATCTTGCGTAGCTTTCTCAATCACGCTGTATCGAGCAAGTTCCTTGACGAGGCTCCCATTTTGTCAGCATCCCAGACAAAAGGATTTTACAGCTGCCCTTTGATCCAGTGGTTGCCTAAAAGCACCATTTGTTACTTTTTGCTGGTCTCCCCAAGAGGCCAAAATTAAAGTTTGATTTCACAGATTTTTGCCTTGGTTCCCAGACTGTCATGGGAACAGTTGGAGGCTGAGTGCAAGAAGATATTTTAACAATAAAAAAAAGGTGAAAATCGCAATTAACCCCCTTTTCCGCTGATGTGGAGCAGAGAGCTCCATGCCCCAAAGAAGTACCTCATCTCCCATCATGCACTCCTCTGAAGGTTGGGCGGGGAGGAGGGGGTATTCTAGTCTGATCTCTGAACAGGGCAGAAATCCCTCAGGCCAGATGAAATCCAGTCCAATCCTGATTCAGAGCCTTCGTGAGGGAGCCCTGCAGTTCCAGGCCTTCCACGGCTTAAAGAACACGCAGTCCTCGAATTAGCGACCACAACTGAGCCCAAAACCGTTGCTAAGCATGACATTTGTTAAGGGAGTTTCGTCCCATTTCACGACCTTTCTTGCCCACAGCTGCTAAGCGAATTGCTGCAGTCGTGAAGTTAGTCACACGGTTGTTAAGTGAACCTGACTTTCCCCCACTGACTTTGCTTCTCATAAGGTCGCCAAAGGGGATCCACACGATCCCGGGACACTGCATCGGTCATAAGTATGAGTCAGCTGTCAAGCGTCTCTATTTAGATCCCCTGACCATGGCGATGCCACAAGGTCGTCAAGTGTGAAAAGCAGTCCTAAGTTCCTTTCCGCTGTGCTGTTGTAATTTCCAACGGTCGCCAAATCAACTGTTGTAAGTCGAGGACTAGCTGAACAAAGAGGGGGAGGGGAAGGTGTGAGTTCAATACCACAATAGCGCCCACCCTCCCACCCACCCCCTCCCTGGATCCCCTTCCAGAGGGATCCTTGGGATCTTTTCCTCGGGGTGGGAGAACACAAGGCAGCTTTTCCAGGACTAGCTGAACAAATAGGGGGAGGGGAAGGTGTGAATTCAATATACCACAATAGCTCCCACCCACTCCCTGGATCCCCTTCCAGAGAGATCCTTGGGATCTTTTCCTCGGGGTGGGAGAACACAAGGCAGCTTTTCCAGGACTAGCTGAACAAATAGGGGGAGGGGAAGGTGTGAATTCAATATACCACAATAGCTCCCACCCACCCACCCACCCACCCCCTCCCTGGATCCCCTTCCAGAGGGATCCTTGGGATCTTTTCCTCGGGGTGGGAGAACACAAGGCAGCTTTTCCAGGACTAGCTGAACAAATAGGGGGAGGGGAAGGTGTGAATTCAATATACCACAATAGCTCCCACCCACTCCCTGGATCCCCTTCCAGAGAGATCCTTGGGATCTTTTCCTCGGGGTGGGAGAACACAAGGCAGCTTTTCCAGGACTAGCTGAACAAATAGGGGGAGGGGAAGGTGTGAATTCAATATACCACAATAGCTCCCACCCACCCACTCCCTCCCTGGATCCCCTTCCAGAGGGATCCTTGGGATCTGTTCCTCGGGGTGGGAGAACACAAGGCAGCTTTGCCAGGCGCGGCCTCCTGTGACAAAGGGGCGGAGAAGGGTGGTCGCCGGGATCCATTTAAATGGAGGGGGGCGCAGGAGGGGAGGGGGGCTGTCGGAGCCTCGTCTCTCTAGGAAGAAGAGCTCGCTCGTTCGCCCGGAGAGGGGAGGGGGATCCGAGGGATCTCGGATCAGCGGCTGGGCGTCCAGCGGAGGCTGAACCAGGAGGAGGCGCCGCCGCGGGGAAGGGAGCTCGGCCCGCCCGATGGCCTCGACCAGGCCGGGAGCAGCGCCGGGCCCTCCTGCCGCAGAGACCGAGGAGGGGCCGGCGCCGGCGCCGCCGGACTCCGGGGAGGCGGAGGGCTTCCCCCGCTGGGGCTGCCGGGCGTCGTCGGAGCCCCGGCCGGTCTTCTGCAGCCGCCTGCAGCAGCCGCTGCTTTGCCCCGGCTGGCTGAAGCCCGAGCCGAGCGGCCAAGCCGGGCTGGCGGACCGGGGGATCCTGGAGCGGCTCCTGGCCGCGCTGCCCCCGGAGATGGCGGGCTGGCTGCGGGGGTGCCGGGCGGAGAGCGGCGCCCAGGCGGGGACCCCGGCCGAGGGATTCCTGCTCGGCCGGGCCCGGGAAGAGCGGAGGCGGCGGCAGGTGAGGAGAGGGGAGGATCCCCTCCTCTGGAAGGGCCGCTTTCCTTGCCCGGCTGAAGCGCATCGATAGAGAAAGAGACTTGGATCTTCCCCTCCCCTTTCAGTTCCAGAGCGGGATTATCCTCCTCCAGATTATTGCATGGGATGGAGAAGGGAATCCCAAGGGAATCTGCATCTCCAACTATGGACCCAAAACACAATCCATCTTTGGAGTCACAAATGCAGGTTGTAACAATTGAAGAGGCTTCGGTTTCCTTCCATTTTCAGTCCCAGAGTGGTGTTTCTCCCCCCCCCTCCAGATTATTCTATATAGGATGGAGAAGGTAATCCAGAGGGAATTTGCATCTCCAACTATGGATATAGCACAGCCCAGCTTTGGAGACAGAAATGCAGATTGTGACAGTGGCAGAGACTTTAGTTTCTCCCCATTTTCAGTTCCAGAGTGGGATTATCCTCCTCCAGATTATTGCATGGGATGGAGAAGGGAATCCCAAGGGAATTTGCATCTCCAACTATGGACCCAAAACACAATCCAGCTTTGGAGACACAAATGCAGATTATAACAATTGAAGAGGCTTTGGTTTCCTTCCATTTTCAGTCCCAGAGTGGTGTTTCTCCCCCCCCCTCCAGATTATTCTATATAGGATGGAGAAGATAATCCAGAGGGAATTTGCATCTCCAACTATGGATATAACACAGCCCAGCTTTGGAGACAGAAATGCAGATTGTGACAGTGGAAGAGACTTTAGTTTCTCTCCATTTTCAGTTCCAGAGTGGGATTATCCTCCTCCAGATTATTCCATAGGATGGAGAAGGGAATCCCAAGGGAATTTGCATCTCCAACTATGGACCCAAAACACAATCCAGCTTTGGAGACACAAATGCAGGTTATAACAATTGAAGAGGCTTTGGTTTCCTTCCATTTTCAGTCCCAGAGTGGTGTTTCTCCCCCCCCCTCCAGATTATTCTATATAGGATGGAGAAGATAATCCAGAGGGAATTTGCATCTCCAACTATGGATATAACACAGCCCAGCTTTGGAGACAGAAATGCAGATTGTGACAGTGGAAGAGACTTTAGTTTCTCTCCATTTTCAGTTCCAGAGTGGGATTATCCTCCTCCAGATTATTCCATAGGATGGAGAAGGGAATCCCAAGGGAATTTGCATCTCCAACTATGGACCCAAAACACAATCCAGCTTTGGAGACACAAATGCACGTTGTAGCAATAGAAGAGACCTTGGTTTCCTTCCACTTTGGGTCCAGAGTGGGGGTCCCCCATCCAGATTATTCCACAGGAAGAAGGGGGAATCCGGAGGGAATTTGCGTCTCCAGCTAGGGTTATAAACACGGTCTAGTTTTTGGGGCAGAGAAGAATCCCCTCCTTCCCGTGTTCAGTTGTTTTAATTTTTCTTCTTCTTTGACCCTGGCTATATTTTAAGTTGCAGGGCCAGTTGATGAAGATGGCCACGGTACCTTGTGAAAGCAGAGAAGATCTCTGTGGTCTCGCTATGAAGCAGCAGTTAAGCTTCTCACAAGAGGATCCAACTCTGGTCTTGTTGACAGGTAAGTGACAGGTTACCTTTGCGGGCAGTGAAGCCTGAAGCCATTTCATTCTTAGTGCTTCTCCTACAGATATTTCTGCCTTTCATTGACAGCGCTTCCAATAACTGATTCAACTCAGTTTCAAAATATTCTTTATCCGTCTTTTCTCTTGATTACAGGACAGCCCAAGTTGTCGATGGAAACGGCTGAAACATCTCTGTCTGGTGGAGCCGCAACAGCTCAGGTAGGGAGCTTTATCAGAGCAGGAAATGCTTTAAGGCCAGCGGTCCACAACCTTTGCGGTTCGCCCACCCAGCTGGGGATGGAGAGGGGAACTGGACTGTGCGAGTGGCAGGCTGGTGCACACACGCGCGAGTGCCCGCTGCCCCACAACTCTCACAAGTTGAGCTCCGGCCAGCCACTTAGAGGCCCAATTCTGAATAGGCTCCAGGCCCAGGAGTTGGGGACCCCTGCTTTTGGGGGGTTAATTTGTATCCTGAGAGTCTACACAAAGCTTGTTAAGAAAGTCAAGTGTTGAGATCAAAATTTAGCTTGGTTCCGCTTTCACAGTGATTGTTTAAGCACAAGGTACAGAAGGGACAGTCCTCCAAGGCAAACTTGAAACCAAAGACATGGAAGGTAATACCACTTCCTTTGTAGGGTTATACCAGGGGTCTTGAACCTTGGCCCTTTTATGACTTGTGGACTTTAACTCCCAGAATTCTTCAGCCAGCTGAGGAATTCTGGGAGTTGAAGTCCACAAGTCATAAAAGGGCTAAGTTTCAAGACCCCTGGGTTACACTAACACAGTGTTTCCCAAACTTGACAATTTTAAGGCATGAGGACTTCAACTCCTAGAATTCCACAGCCAGCAACGCTGGCTGTGGAATTCTGGGAGTTGAAGTCCACATGCCTTAAAATTGTCAAGTTTGGGAAACACTGCACTAACAGATTCTTGCAAGTCTAAGTGCATCTGCCCCCGCCCTCCCTTTATTTTGACAAGAACTAGGGAGTGTCACACCTGAGATCGTTCCTCAAATTATATTTCTGTCTCCGACTCAGATTTCTTTTGCATGACGATTGTCTTAGTAGGAGCTTATCCCCCTAGCTCTCATGATCATTGGTTTGCTCCATTAAAATCATATTGGCATACTGACTTCATTGATGGAATCATACGTTTAGGTTTCTTATACCTGTAATGAGTTACATTAATTTATTTAAGATAAATCCTTTGCTGTCTGAAGTATGTGGAAAACCCCAGGAATCGGCTAGCAAGAAATAAAGACAGTTTGGTCTGGTGGTTAAGGCACCAGCTAGAAAGCAAGAGATTGCGGCTTCTAATCCTGCCTTAGCCATGAAAGCCAGCTATGCAACTTTGGGCCAGTCACACTCTCTTAGCCCAATTCACCTCACAGGGTTGTTATTGTGGGGATAAATAGGACATATAAGGTGTGTTGAATATGTTTGACACCTTGAATTACTTGTAAAAACAATAAAGGGAAGATGTGAATAAATAAATAAAAGCCAGGAATTATTTTTAACATTAAATTTTATTGAAGCATTAGTAAGACAACTCAGAACAAATGAAAAAAAAAAATCAGAGCAGTTAAATTGTGGCAATATGTCCAAGGAGATCCAGTTAAAAGTTATATATGTGTGGTATGAAATTATTTCATCAAAATGGTAGCTTGTGCAAAGGAGAAAAAAAAAAACAAACTGAAAGTTTTAACACTGAAGGAGATGTAAGAAAGTGACCTACTTCTTCAAAGTCTTCAAGAAATTTTAACCAGAGGTGGATTGTCGGAGCGAGAGCTAAAAAACCCTTGTAGTACATTATGTCAGAAAAGAAGCATTCTTCTATCTTACCAAACTCATTTTTAGGATATTGGAAATGTGGGAGAGAACTTCCTGGGACTTCTGTTGAGAAACATTTACTTGGATTTTCAGGGCTTAGTAACCTTTGAGGAGGTGGCTGTGTATTTCACGGAGGACGAGTGGGCGCTGCTGAATCCCAGCCAGAGAGCTTTATACGGGGAAGTCATGCTGGAGAATTCTAGAAATGTGGCCGATCTTGGTAAGGACCTGTTTTGCTCTGGATTCAGCTATTTGTGGAAAGTCTTTGGTTGCCATAAGTCCTCAAAAAGAACATTCTGGGGCTTCTTTTTCAAAGACTAAAGTAAAATGGAGAAGTTGGTAGATGCTTTACAAGATCATATCTCATCTGAGCTTTTGAGAAAGTTATTTAGCGAAGATTACCGCTTCTCTTTGGACTGATTCCAGAGCAGATAACTGGAACCATTTTAGGTGAGGAAGATACTTCTCTGAATCTAGGACAGGGATAGGCAACCTTGGCTCTTTTATGACTCGTGGACTTCAGTTCCCAGAATTCCTGAGCCAGCATGGCTCAGCTTGGAAACCTCTCCCTTTCTCCTCAGCATGGCTGGCTCAGGAATTCTGGGAGTTGAAGTCCACCAGTCATAAAAGAGCCAAGGTTGCCTACCCCTGATCTAGGAGATAGGGCAGTTGTTCCTTAAACCACCCTATCTGCTAGGTTGCTAATAATCAGTGGCAGCTTCTCATACCATCTCTTTGGATAAAAGACCCTCCGTCTCTCAATAAAATCATGTGTAAGCTCCCTGTAGTGATCAGAACAACTGGACATTTTTCCCTGGATGGTTCAACACTTAGTACTATGTGATACTGTGTATTTGATCTAAAGGGGGAATCACAACACTGAGGAGAACAAAGCTTTATTGCAAGGATTGTTGAGTACCTGCTTTACAAGAAAGAGCGACTCTGAAAAAAATGTAAATGAAAGGTATTTCTAGAAGTTAAAAGGTTTCAAGCTGAGAAATCTGGAGAATTGAAGAGGTCAGTTTGTTCTTGATACCCCATGCTTCTGATTATTTAATCTTCCAGATAAGGGATTACCTCAGAAAATAAAACATACCTCAGAAAAATAAGCGTGGAATTGTCCAAAGGGATATAATGTCTGAGGTAGAACCATAAATGAAAGCTTGAGGCACCCAAAGCGAAATCCAGCAAATTCTTGAAATTGAACAATAATGGATTTTTTTCTGTGATGAAAAAAATTAACTAAATAATTAAAATAATGTGTTGAGGTAGCTGGCAAAGGGTAGAGACAGGTGGGGGGACCCATGGTTATAAGTTTGGGTGGGCTGCCAAGCACCCATGTTTTTTTCACATGAATGTGGGGACCAGCAACAGATGTAACTTTGAGGGTAAATATCATTCATTAAACACCACGGTAAGTTTCCGTGGTGGCTGAATGAATAACACAATTCCTGTCTATAAGAAAACCATACAGAGAACCTAGCATATCCAGGAAATGTGCAGAAATAACAGGTGCACCGTATTCTGTGATGAAAATAATGAACATTTTTTTCTTTTTTCAAATAAGCTTATGGGCAGGAGCCCGAGTATAATAAGGAGCCGAGCCTAACGCTATTTCAAGTGCTCCAGTCTGAAAAAGGAATACTTGGAAATCGGGGGGCACCTCAAAAGAGTACGAAAAGCTGCCTAAAGAATGGAAGGAAGAAGTCTTCTAGTCACAATGAAGTCCTTGGCCTCCCAACCCTGCAACTTCAGCAAAGGAAAGAAGTTGGAAAACATTTCAGATATGGCAAAATAGACAAAGCAACATCTCTTTTCGGTAAATATTATCCGAACCAAACTGAAGAGGAACAATGTGAACATCAAGAGCATGGGCAAAATATCAGTCTTAACTCCTCTCTTGTTTTACATCACCCATCATACATCCCAGAGACACCATATGGAATTTTAAATTGTGGGGAAAAATTCACTTTGAATAGTCATCTAATGTCACATAAAGACGAGAATCTATATGCGTGTGGAAAGGGTTTCAGCCAGAAACAGTTGCTTATTTTACCCCCAGAAAATGTCCCAATGGAGAAACGGTATAAATGTCTGGAGTGTGGAAAGACCTTCACTCACAAATGTAAACTTACTGTCCATGAACGGACCCACACGGGGGAGAAACCATATATATGCCTGGTGTGTGGAAAAAAATTCAGTCAGACGGGTCACCTTACCAGACATCAACGAACCCACACTGGGGAGAAACCATATTCGTGCCTGCAGTGTGGAAGGAAGTATAGTGGAAGTTCCAGCCTTATCAAGCATGTAAGGAGCCACACGGGGGAGAAACCATACAAATGTTCAGAGTGTGATAAGAGCTTCAATCAGAGCAGTCATTTTATTCGCCACAAAATGATCCACACAGGAGAGAAACCATACAAGTGCCTGGAATGCGGAAAGAGCTTCGGGCGTAATTTTAGCCTTATGCAACACAAAAGAACTCACACAGGGGAGAAACCGTATCAGTGCTTGGTGTGTGGAAAGAGTTTCAGTGGCTCCTCGGATCTTATGTACCATAAGAGGATTCACACAGGGGAGAGACCGTATAAGTGCCTGGAGTGCGGAAAGCGATTCAGTAGGCGAAGTCGCCTTACAGCTCACAAAAGAAAGCACACAGGACAGAAACCGTATATATGCCTGGTGTGCGGAAGGAGATTCAGTCAGAGCGGCCACCTTACAAGTCATAAAAGAACTCACACTGGGGAGAAACCATATACCTGCCTGAAATGTGGAAGGAAGTTTGGTAGAAGATCTAGCCTTGTGATACATGTAAGAATCCACACGGGGGAGAACCCATACAAGTGTATCGAGTGTGGAAAGGGCTTCCGTCAGAGAACGACCTATATTTACCATCGAAGGATCCACACAGGAGAAAAACCATACAAATGCCTGGAATGTGGGAAGAACTTTAGACGAAACTGCCACCTTAAGAAACATAAAAAAATGCACACTGTGAAGAAAGCATATCAGTGTTAGAACTCTGAAAAGAACTTCAGCTTACACTCAGATATGACTTATCGTAGACATATTCATACAGGGGAGAAACCAGATGAGTGGAATGTGGAAAGAGCTTCAATTGCAGCAGTTATTTTATTTGCCATAAAAGGATTCACATGGGAGAAACCATCCTAATGCTCAGAGTGCGGAAAGAACTTCAGTCAGAAAAATCACCTTTCCCAACAAGAGAAAAAAACGTAGCTTGGGAGCTTTCATCTTGTTTTCTTCCCATAAAGAGACTCATATCTGAAATACAGAAATAATAATGATGATTGGAGTGACATTCAGTTTGAAATGTCATCTCGTCAGACCTAAATGAATCCATAGGGGAGAACCATAAAAATGCCTGAAGTGTGGAAATGGATTAAAACGTGGCACTGCCCTTGTTTCCCATAGGAAGTCCTATGAGTGTAAATGAACTTTCGGTACCAGTACTGGCCCTCCCCCAAGAAAATATATACATATCTGAGTTTGGTTAAGTTTTATGAATGCTAAACCTGCGGACTGAAGAGCTGATCCATACAGGAGAGACAATACATCAAGGAATGAAGTAAAACCACTATTTTAAGAAGATGTGTCTTCTTAAATTACCAGAAAATTTCCACTTAGGAGAGAAACTGTATAAAAGAGTGGAACATGGAAAGAGTTGGTGTTTTGTTTTTTGTTTTTTGGCTTAAGCCTTCATCAATGAATTATGAGCCCCTCTCCACATTGTTAGACTAATCTTGACTATTTTTCCTGATGTAATCTGGGACTGCTGTATCAGAGGCTGACGAGGATTATATGGTTGGTTAAGGTTAAAGTCTCATGAAAACAGACTGAGGCTGATGGGACTATTTAACCCTGTAAAAAAAAAAAAACCCAACCAAGAAGGATTTAATATCCCTATGGAAGCATTTGATGTGGTGTCCCATAGAAGAAAGCAAAAGTTTGTCCTGCAGTGCAGAATAAACACAACAGAATCAGATTTAATGTTACAAAAATATTATGATAGCGATGAAACTCTCAAACGCTCAGTAACTACCTCTGCCAACACCCCTCCCTTAATAAAAACAGGAAAACACTTCCTCCTCTCCACAAATCCCCATTTTTATGCAACTTTGTAAAGATTTACTATAGTGCTTGTCCTTTAATTTCACAATAAAATATTTGAGGTTTTATTTTCGTTTCTAAGGGCTGTGGCTAGTACTTGCTTAGCAACTATTTGAATTTACGATGGACCCTCTCCCAAAAGATAATTATGAACTAGTTCTGGACTTGGAATGACAGCACACACCAATCAGAATAGAATCAAAATAGAACAATAGAACAGAACTGAATAGAATATTGAGAATAGAATAGAATCGAATCTTTATTAAGAATAGGATAGAATAGAATAGAACATAGAATAGCATAGAATGAAACAATAGAATAGTATAGAACAAAACAGAATGGAATGGAATATAGAATAGAATAAGAAATACAATAGCAGAGTTGGAAGGGACCTTGGAGGTCTTCTAGTCCAACTCCCTGCTCAGGTAGGAAAGCCTATAATGTTTCAGACAAATGGTTGTCCAGATTAACTTGAGATTCAAACCCTCCAGGAAGGTAGCCGTCCAATTCCAGGCAGAAGGTCGGTCCATGGCTTAAAAATACTAATGGAGGGAGGAGGAGAGAGTTGCTCCCTAGGTTGATTGTTATCCTCTCCGAATCCTTTTGAGAGACCTACAAAAGGCAAAGCCAAATCCACCCACCCGCAGGCTTTGCAAACGGGAGTCCTGACAACTTCAGACAACTTTGGTCACTATGATGTAAAAAAGATGTTGAGTCTCTAGAAAGTGCAAAGAGCAACAAAGATGATCAGGGGACTGCAAGCTAAAACATACTAAGAACGGTTACAGGAATTGGGTATGTTGAGTTTAATGAAGAGAAGGACGAGGGGGGGACATGATAGCAGAGTTCCAATATCTGTGGGGCTGCGACAAAGAAGAGGGAATTAAGCTATTCTCCAAAGCACCTGAGGGCAGGACAAGAAGCAACGGATGGAAACTAATCAAGGAGAGAAGCAACCTAGAACTAAGGAGAAATTTCCTGACAGAACAACTTGCTTCCAGAAGTTGTGAATGTTCCAACACTGGAAATTTTTAAGAAGAGATTGGACAACCATTTGTCTGGAATGGTGTTGGGTTTTCCTGCCTGAGCAGAGGGTTGGACTAGAAGACCTCCAAGGTCCATTCCATCTATTCTATTCTATTCTATTCTATTCTATTCTATTCTACTCTACTCCATATTCTATTCTATTCTATTCTTATTCTTCTACCCCTATTCTATTTTATTCTATTCTTATTCTTCTACCCCTATTCTATTCTATTCTATTCTATTCTATTCTATTCTATTCTTATTTTTCTACCCCTATTCTATTCTATTCTATTCTATTCTATTCTATTCTATTCTTATTCTTCTACCCCTATTCTCTTCTCTTCCATTCCATTTTCTATTCTAGTCTAGTCTAGTCTAGTCTATTCTTATTCTTCTACCCCTATTCTATTCTATTCTATTCTATTCTATTCTATTCTATTCTATTCTATTCTATTCCATCCCTATCCCTATCCCTATCCCTACCTGGGGGAAGCAAGCGTGGGAGTCCTCGCGAGCCGTGCCCCTCTGCAGGAAAGAGACGGACTGGCTGGCCGCCGGGGACGTTTCAAAGGAGACTCACTCCCCTTCAAAGGAGGCGACAGAGACTACCCGAGAGCTTTCCTAGGAAGAAGCGCGCGGTCGCCTTCCCAGAGGCCGAGAGGGCCTTACGCTGAAGTCGGAGCCGAGAGCCGGGGGTGAATGGCAGCTGCGCTTGCCCCGATCCCGCTTAGCCGGTAGGCTTCCCCCCCACACCTTTCCCGGGAAGGAGGAGGCGGCCGGGAGTGGAGGATGGGAGGGAATCCGGAGGGATCCCGGGGCGGCGCGCAGCGGATCGGCATCCGGCGGAGGCTCCCGGCCAGAGGCGGGCAGGGAAGGAGTGGAGGCTGAACCAGGAGGAGGCACCACCGGTCAAGGGAGCCCGGCCCGGCCGGGCCGACGGCCTCGTCTAGGCTGAGAGCAGCGCCGGGCTCTCCTGCCACCGAGACAGCGGGCTGGCTGCGGGGGTGCCGGGCGGAGAGCGTCGCCCAGGAGGAGACCCTGACCGAGAGATTCCTGCTCAGCCGGGCCCGGGAGGAGCGGCGGCGGCGGCGGGTGAGGAGAGGGAAGGATCCCCTCCTGGGAGGAAGGATCCCCCGTGGATCTGGCTTCCTTGTCCTTCTGGGAGGATCCCCTCCAGGGAGGAAGGGCCGCTTTCCGTTGCCCGGCTCAAGTGCCTCAATCTAGGAAAGACCTTGGTTTTCTCTTCCCTTTCCCTCCCAGAGGCCTGTTTTCCTCCTCCAGGTTATTCCATAGGAGGAAATTGGAATCCAAAGCGAATTTGCATCTCCACCTATGGATACAACACGGTCCAGCTTTGGAGACACAAATGCAGGCGGTGACAGTGGAAGAGACTTTAGTTCCCCTCCATTTTCACTCCCAGAGTGGTGTTTCCCCTTCCAGATTATTCCACAGGAAGAAGGGGAATCCCAACGGAATTTGCGGCTCCAACCATGGATCTAGTTCAGTGGTTCTCAACTTTTTTAATGCCATGACCCCAACTGGTCGTAAGTCAAGGACTACTCAACTGGTGCAGCACTGTTTGCAGAATGGGACTTTTGGTGGGCTCAGAAAGGCAGAGACAGCCTGGACAATACCTATTGGCTTTGGAAAGCCAATAGAAGTAGACTCTATTCAAGAGAGTCTATTCTATTGGCTTTCAAAAGCCAATAGAATAAAAGGGAGTAGCACAGCTAAGGAAAAGGGGAAAAAAATGGCGGACTGCGTTGGTTGGCGACCCCCGTGAAATGGTCGTTCGACCCCAAATGGGGTCCCGACCCACAGGTTGAGAACCACTGATCTAGTTGGATATGGATATAACATAGTCTCACTTTGGAGGCACAAAAGGATCCTCTTGTTCCAGCGTTCAGTTGTTTTAATATTTTAAGTTGCAGGGCCAGTTGATGAAGATGGCCGCGGTACCTCCTGAAGGCGGAGGAGATCTCTCTGGTTTCTCTGTGGAGCAGCTGTTGGGCTTCTCAGAGGAGGAACCAGCTCAGGTCTTGTTGCCACGTAAGTGATAGGTTACTTCTGCGGGCAATGAAGCCTGAAGCCATTTCATTCTTGTGCTCTTTCTACACCAGTGGTTCTCAACCTGTGGGTCAGGACCCCATTTGGGGTTGAACGACCATTTCGCGGGGGTTGCCAAACAAGGCTGTCCGCCATTTTTTTCCCCTTTTCTTTGGCCATGCCCCTGGCACCTGATGATGTATAAGTGGTTGGGGGTCACCACAACACAGGGAACTGTATTATGGGGTCACGGCATTAGAAAGGTTGAGAACCACTGTTCTACACATACTACTGCCTTCAGTGTGTAGTGCTTCCCAATAGCTGAGAGGTCCCCAACCCTTTGGACACTAGGGACAGGTTCTGTGGGTGGGTTTGTGTGCTGTCTGAATCCCACAGATGGGGTGTTGCTTGTTTATGCAGACCGGTTGCTGGCATCCTGCGGCCCAGTACTGGTCCATGGACCGGGGGTTGGGAACCCCCGCAATAGCCAACTCATAGGGGACTGGAGGCTAAAGCATATAAGGAACGGTTGCTAGAATTGGGTATGTCTAGTTTAACGAAGAGAAGGACAAGGGGGGACATGATAGCAGTATTCCAATATCTCAGGGGCTGCCATAAAGAAGAGGGAATTAAGCTATTTTTCAAAGCACCTGAAGGCAGGACAAGAAACAATGGGTGGAAACTAATCAAGGAGAGAAGCAACCTAGAACTAAGGAGAAACTTCCTGACAGTGAGAACAATTAATCAGTGGAACAACCTGCCTCCAGAAGCAGTAAATGCTCCAACACTGGAAGTTTTTAAGAAGAGACTGGACAGCCATTTGTCCGAAATGGTGTAAGGTTTCCTGCCTGAGCAGGGGGTTGGACTAGATGATCTCCAAGGTCCTTCCAACTTTACTACTATTACTATTACTATTCAGCTTCCAAACATTTTTTTTGTCCATCTCCTTTTATCTTGATCACAGGGAACACAAGGTTTTCTATAGAAGCCACTGAAACATCTCGTCTGTCTGATGGAGCCGCAACAGCTCAGGTAAGGAGGCTTATCAGAGCAGGAAAATCTTGAGGGGGGAGAGTGTCGTTTGTGGCATGACAGTCTACACAAAGCTTGTTAAGGAGGTCAAGGGTTGAGATCAAAATTTAGCTCAGTTCCACTTTCAAGATGATTGTTTAAATCAGAGGTCCCCAACCCCTGGTCCATGGACCGGTACCAGACCACAGCATGCCAGCAACACAAACAAGCAAAGCTGAAGATGCTTTTAGAATGAGAAGCAAAACGTCTTTGAAGAAAAACAAGAAAGCCCAGTTGCCTTCTGAAAAAGCATCTTTGAGATAACTGATGACCTGGATGACTCTCCATAGACGTTTAACTAGTCTGACTTGTTCAAGCAAGATTCAGTTAATATTCAGATAAGAGTGATAGGTATGAGAGGTATGGAGTTATTGCATCAAAATGGTAGCTTCTGCAAAAAAAAAAGAAAGAAAGTTTTCACTCAGAAAAAGAGGTGACAAAATGGCGTACCTCTTCAACGTCTTTCTCCGAAATGAATTGTGGTAGGAAGTCATTCTAACCCAAGGGTGTCAAAATCAATTTCATTGAGGGCCGCATCAGCATTGCAGTTGCCCTTGGGGTGGTGGTGGCCGGGGGGGGGGTGCGGCCTACTGGGTGCTGGGTGGGCATGGATGGAGTGGGTGTGGCCTACTGGATGGGCGTGGCCAGCTCTACATCATTTGCGTCCAGGGTGCCTGTGGGGGCCTGGGCAGGACAGATCTGAGGGTCTTTGGCAGAAAGGGGTGGGACCAGGGCAGAGCCCATCAAGCCGGATATGTGAAGTAGGCGAAGGCCATTTGCTGGCCCCTTCCAGGCGATGGTGCATTTCTTCATTCCTCACACAGAGGGGCACCTCCCCAGCATGCACCTAGGGTATGGGGCCGACGTGGCAGGGGCTGGTTCCTCGGTGTTTCTAGACGGCCTTGTGGAGCTAAGACTAAATGCATTTCAGCATAGAGGGCCACCACAAAATTGTACATTGGCTCCCGCCCGGCCTGGACCAGGGCCAAGGCAGCAGGGGCCATTCCCTCACTGTTTCCAGGATGGCTTCACGGGCCACATGAAACCACTTCTCGGGCCGCATCAGGCCCACGGGCATTGTGTTTGACATGTCTGTTCTAACCAGACAGCTGGATTGTTGGAGAGGCAGCTATGAAACCTAGTAGAAGATTATGTCACAAAAGCAGCATTTTCTGTCTTGTAAAACTTACTTTTGAGATATTGGAAACGTGGAAGAGAATTTTCTGGGTTGTCTCCGCTGATTAACATTTCCTTTGAATTTCAGGGATCCGTATCCTTTGAGGAGGTGGCTGTGAATTTCACGGAAGAGGAATGGGCTCTGCTGGATTCTAGCCAGAGAGCCTTACACAGAGACGTCATGCTGGAGAATTCTAGGAATGTGGCCATTCTGGGTAAGGATCTGTTTTGCTCTGGTATTCAGGCATTTGTGGAAGTCTTTTGTTGCCTAAGTGCTCAGAAAGCAGCTTCTACCTAGAAGGACAGTCTGCGACTTTTTTTTGCTTAAATCAGGGGTAGACAACCTTGGCTCTTTTATGATTCGTGGAGTTCAACTCCCAGAATTCCTGAGCCAGCATGGCTGGCTCAGGAATTCTGGGAGTTGAAGTCCACGAGTAATAAAAGAGCCAAGGTTGCCTAGCCCTGGCTTAAACGGACAAGTTGGTAGATCCTTTAGAACAGTGATGGCGAACCTATGGCATGCGTGCCAGAGGCGGCACTCAGAGCCCTCTCTGTGGGCACACTTGCCGCCACCACCACCAGCTCGCGCAGGTCCATTAGGCCACTGCTTGCATCCGGAGCAGCAGCCCCACCCAGCACAAAGGAGGCAAAGCAGCTGGCTAGCAAGCTTGAGCAGAGATGATAGACCACGCCCCCATGTGCTCACTGGTCTCTATGTGCGGGCTGATGGTGTCAGGCAGCAGCCCTCCCTGCTTTGCCTTGCCCCACAGTAATGGCACCCCCGCCTTACCCCCTGCCTCACCCCGCAGAATGAGCCTCCTGCCCATCGCCGGAGTGGGGTTAATAGACAATAGTGGCGGCCAGTAGGCCACGGCCCGGCAGTGGGGCGCAGACCATAGGTTGGGGACCTCTGCTTTAGGTGAAGAATGATTGTCTATTCCTTATAACTGCTACATCTCTAAGGTTGCCTAATAATCTGTGGCAGTTTCTCATACCATCTGTTTGGACAAAAGGGCCCGCCCTTTATCTCTGTGTTGAAGATGTGTAAGTTGCCTGTAGAGATCAGAACAAGTGACATTTTTTTTCCCCCTGGGTGCTTTAACACAACGTAGTATTAGAAGCTGCTGTGGATTGGGTCTAAAGAAGAATTACAACGCTGAGGAAAAGAATTGAGCTTTTTTGCAAGGATTGTTGAGTACCTGCTTTACAAGAAAGAGGGGCCCAGAGTAATAGTAAAGCGATGGTTTTTCTAGAAGTTAATGGTTACAAGCTGGAAAATCCCACAGATCTGATTGGCTAAGCAGTTTGTGGAAGCTAGACAAATCCTGGGGTTACAATAATTCTCTTTTAGTGACTACAGTTGGGACCAGCAACTCTTTCGTTAAACAAAGTAGTCAGTAAGTGAAAAAACTACATGACCACGATTCTGCTTATGAATGTACTTCAGCTTTACATAGGGCTCAGACCCCCAACAGCTGGATAACCCCAGAGAAGCTTTGTGGAAGTTGATTGCCCTTTTTCTCCATTTATGCTTTGGAATGCTCACCCTGATGCTGGGATAAATCACACATAATCATTTTCATATTCATTGGAGAGAGAGGGATTACAAGAGAGCAAGCAGACACACAATGAAGAGTATAGATTGAAGCAATACAAGCTGTTTACCTTGAGGAGGCAAAAAAAGCCTTGAAGGTGACATTGATTAGGGTCTTGTCAGTGTTAGGCAGTAGCTGCAATCAACAATTCTGGTCTGTTTTGTTAGTGACATTAGCAGAGATGTGCTGCCCTGCAAAGAAAAGCAGCTAAGGAAGAAGTAGCTTGTTTAGGCAATCTCTCCACTCTGCGAAAACAAACATGTACTGACTGATTTCACTGGGGAACACATGGCTGAGAGAAATGCTGTGAATGTCATAAACGTGAGCCTTGACTTTTTTTTTTATTAAAAAGTTTTTATTTTCCATTTTTCAATACATTCATATAAAAATACCTTTAATAAAATAAAATAAATTCATACACATAACTTTAGGTGTCGCTCGCCCATTTCCCCTCAGACTGCATCTGCCCTCTCTCCCTTCCTTCCTTACTTCCCTCTTCTTCCTCTCCTCTCCTCACCTCTCTCTTCCCCTCCTCCTTTCCTCCCATCCTACTTCCTTCCATCCCTTCCTCCTCCCCTCTCATCCCTCTTCGGATACAGTTCAGGGGAAATACCCGAGCAGCCTCTCTCTCAAAAATACCCTGTCTATATTATACATTAATAGTCCTATTTGTCTAACCTACTTAACCTCAACCCCCACCCCACCCCCTACCCCCACCCCCACTTCCCAGAGCAGAATACAGGGTTATTATGGACGAAATAAACAAAATCTACTTAACTTTAAAAAATTATACAATAAACAAATTCATACTTAACCCTTAACTCCCTCTAAACCAGTGGTTCTCAACCTTTCTAATACCGCGACCCCATAATACAGCTCCCCATGTTGTGGTGACCCCCAACCATTTATACATCAGCGGGTGCCAGGGGCGTGGCCAAAGAAAAGGGGGAAAAAATGGCGGACAGCCTTGTTTGGCGACCCCCATGAAATGGTTGTTCGACCCCAAATGGGGTCCCGACCCACAGGTTGAGAACCGCTGCTCTAAACTTTAAACATCATAATAATATAAACAAATCCATTATAAAACATTTGTTATAAAATTCTATAAATAATAACTAGTATTTTAAAAAATTTCATCATAAAATAAATGGAACTTTTGAGTTCCATATTTATGAGCCTTGACTTTTTTCATCGCCTTCATAACTGAATGGTCACTCTCTGAGGCAGTTACTAATCAAGGAATACCTGTAATTCTGCTGTTTGGCAAGACGGGCCTTTCAAAAGGGCAGCATAGCTGAAGAAGTCCATTGTTCAGGAGAGGGAATGTTGAAGTCTGATGATGGAGAATGGAAGGTTTGGACTTGTCTGTGTTGCAGTTCCCTTTTAAGGGCGGCCTTGGGCTGTACTAGGAGTGGATAAGACTTCTGTTCTTTGGTTTGATGGGACTGCAGGGGGGCAGGTTGTCTAGAGCAGTGGTTCTCAACCTGTGGGTCGGGACCCCATTTGAGGTCGAACGACCATTTCACGGGGGTCGCCAAACAACGCAGTCCGCCATTTTTTCCCCCTTTTCCTTAGCTGTACTACTCCCTTTTATTCTATTGGCTTTCGAAAGTCAATAGAATAGACTCTCTTGAATAGAGTCTAATTCTATTGGCTTTCAAAAGCCAATAGGAATTGTCCAGGCTGTCTCTGCCCTGCTGAGCCCGCCAAAAGTCCCATTCTGCAAACAGTGCGGCACCAGTTGAGTAGTCCTCGACTTACGACCGGTTGAGTAGTCCTCGACTTACGACCGGTTGGGGGGTCACGGCATTAAAAAAGTTGAGAACCACTGGTCTAGAGCAAGGAGGATCAATTCAGGTCTGATAGGGCTAGGTCACAGGTCGGCAACCTGCGGCTCCGGAGCCGCATGCGGCTCTTTGAGCCTTCCCCTGTGGCTCCCAGCCTCCTCTGCCTTTGCAGAGAGAGACAGAGACAGAGAGAGGCAATTGCACTTCCCTGCTTCTCTCTCTCTCTCTCTCTCTCTCTCTGTGTGTGTGTGTGTGTGTGTTTTGTGTGTGTGTGTGTGTGTGTATGTGTAAAAGAGAGTGCACTCACAGTGTTCTCCGAGGAGCTGAAAAGCTTACTGGACGGAGCTCCTCCCTTTGCTGCGTCTCTAAAGGAAGCAGGAAGGGCAGGAGAGAGCTAGCTAGCCCAGCTAGGCTGACTCAGGAATTCTGGGAGTTGAAGTCCATGAGTCATAAAAGAGACGAGGTTGCCTACCCGGAGGTTGTTGGACAACAGCTTGAAGCTTGCCAGGTGAGCAGCAGATAGGAGGGGGGGGGGAGAAAGAGAGAGAGAGAGAGAGAGAGAGAGAGAGAGAGGGAGAGAGAGAGTGGGGGAAGAGGAGTGGCAGACCAAGGGCAGATAGAGAGGGAGGGAGAGACCCTTTTGACATCTAAAATGAATATAACACTGCATATATCCTTTTTTTACCTGTGTGTGTATGTAATTTTATTCTCTTAAAGCATTCTCTTGGTGATCATTGTTTTAATAGTATGGATATTCCCAAGAGTCATATTTTTACTTTTATTTTTAATGTGTATATGTGTGTGTGTGTGTGTGTGTGTGTGTGTGTGTATACACACACACACACATATACACATACACACACACACACACACACACATACACATACACACACCTATAATAAAGTAAAAAAGGATATATGCAGTGTTATCTTCATTTTAGATATCAAAAGGGTTTTGCGGCTCCCAGTGTTTTGTTTTTGGTGGGAAACGGGTCCAAGTGGCTCTTTGAGTGTTTTGGGTTGCCTACCCCTGGGCTAGGTAAAGAGATGACCTGGGTTTTAATCCAACTCATTTCTAAAAGGCGGGGAGGCAAACAAGTGCAGCCTCCATTTTGTTTGTTAGATTTATTTCTTCCACAAGAGGAAATAAATATAGGGAAGGATTGGCAGCAGTGACAAGGAACACCTGCCTCCCCCACCTGATCCTAGGGCACAGAGAGTAGAGCGGAAGGAAGCTTCTCCTTACCAGGAAAATTAAATTTTAGTTTGTACTTTCAACCAGGAAATTCTCAAGAGATTTCTTTTATGTTTGAGGGTGATGTTCACCTTAGGAGAGATAAGACTAATGATTACAAGATGTCATTTCAAATGCCTTCATGAATTCAGGCTAGGTGTGTCGGTATATAATGTAAGGCATTCTTGAAACTGAATTTGCTGTAGTGAACATCAAGGCATCAATTGCTTCATACATTTTATATAATAATAATAATAGTAGTAAAGTTGGAAGGGACCTTGGAGGTCATCTAGTCCAACCCCCTGCTCAGGCAGGAAACCCTACACCATTTCGGACAAATGGCTGTCCAGTCTCTTCTTAAAAACTTCCAGTGTTGGAGCATTTACTGCTTCTGGAGGCAGTCTGTTCCACTGATTAATTGTTCTCACTGTCAGGAAGTTTCTCCTTAGTTCTAGGTTGCTTCTCTCCTTGATTAGTTTCCACCCATTGCTTCTTGTCCTGCCTTCAGGCGCTTTGGAAAATAGCTTAATTCCCTCTTCTTTATGGCAGCCCCTGAGATATTGGAAGACTGCTATCATGTCACCCCTCGTCCTTCTCTTCGTTAAACTAGACATACCCAATTCTAGCAACCGTTCTTTATATGTTTTAGCCTCCAATCCCCTAATCATCTTTGTTACTCTTCTCTGTACTCTTTCTAGAGTCTCAACATCTTTTTTACATCGAGGTGACCAAAACTGGATGCAGTATTAAGTGTGGCCTTACCAAGGCATTGTAGAGTGGTATTAATACTTCATGTGATCTTGATTCTATCCCTCTGTTAATGCAGCCTAGCACTGTGTTGGCCTTTTTGGCAGCCGCAGCACACTGCTGGCTTATATTTAGGTCAGCGGTTCTCAACCTATGGGTCGCGACCCCATTTGGGGTCGAACGACCATTTTACGGGGGTCGCCAAACAACGCGATCCGCCATTTCCCCCCCCCAGGGGCCGCCGCCGCGCATGTGCGGCACGTCCATGTGACCGGGGGTCGCCGTATAAAAAGGTTGAGAACCGCTGATTTAGGTGATTGTCTAAATCACCTAAATATGATTTTGGTCTTGATATCCCTTGCTCCTGATTATTCAGTCTTCAGATAACAAAAAAGTAGGGGGGGTTCTCCAAGGGTGGGAAGAAAAACCAAAATACCTCATAAAAATTAAGTAGGGAATCGCCCAAAAGATATATAATGTTTGAGGTAGAACCTTAAATGAAACGAAAGATTTACACCATACAAAGAGGAATCTAGCAAAATGTTGGAAAAGCAAAAATAACAGTTGCAGCATTTTTCTGTGATGAACGTAATGATTATTTTTTTCTTTTCTTCGTCAAATCAGGTTTTGGGCAGGAGCAGGAGAATTACCAGGAGCCCAACCTAGCGCTATTCCAGTTTGAAGAAAAGATGCTTGGAATCAAGGGGGTACTTCAAAAAATTTCAAAAAACTGCCTAAAGAGTGGAAGGAAGAAATCTTCTCCTTCTGATCACAATAAAGTCCTTGGCCTCCCAACCCAGCAACTTCAGCAACGAGAAGAAGTTGGAAAATATCTTGGATGTGACAAGACAGACAAAGCGAAATTTGTTTTTAGTGAATATTATACATACCAGACTGAAAAGGAACAATATGAACATCAAGAGTACGGGGAAAGTGTCAGCCTTAGCTCTTCTCTTGTTTTACATCACCCATCATACATCCCGGAGACACCATATGGAATTATAAATTGTGTCGAAAAATTCACGTTGAACAATCATTTTATGTCGCATAAAAAGGAGAACCCGTATGAGTGTGAAAAGAGTTTTAGCCAGAAACAATTGCTTATTTTACCCCCAGAAAATGCCCCAATGGAAAAACGGTATAAATGTCTGGAATGTGGAAAGACCTTCAGTCACAGATGTAAACTTACTGTCCATGAACGGACCCACACTGGGGAGAAACCATATATATGCCTAGTGTGTGGAAAAAAATTCAGTCAGACGGGTCATCTTACCAGACATCAACGAACCCACACTGGGGAGAAACCGTATTCATGTCTTCACTGCGGAAGGAAGTTCAGTGGAAGTTCAAACCTTATCAAACATGTAAGGAGCCACACGGGGGAGAAACCATACAAATGTACAGAGTGTGATAAGAGCTTCAGTCGGAAAACTACCTTTATTTACCATAAAAGGATCCACACAGGAGAAAAACCATACAAGTGTCTGGAGTGTGGAAAGTGTTTCGGGCGGAACAGTAGCCTTATGCAACACAAAAGAACTCACACAGGGGAGAAACCGTATCAATGCCTGGTGTGTGGAAAGAGTTTCAATGGCTCCTCGGATCTTATGTACCATAAGAGGATTCACACAGGGGAGAGACCGTATAAATGCCTGGAGTGCGGAAAGCGATTCAGTAGGCGAAGTCGCATTACAGCTCACAAAAGAAAGCACACAGGACAGAAACCGTATATATGCCTGGTGTGCGGAAGGAGATTCAGTCAGAGCGGTCACCTTACAAGACATAAAAGAACTCACACTGGGGAGAAACCATATCCTTGCCTGAAGTGTGGAAGGAACTTCAGTGGAAGATCTAGCCTGGTGATACATATAAGAATCCACACAGGGGAGAAGCCGTATAAATGTTCCGAGTGTGGGCGATGCTTCCGTCAGAAAACGACCTTTATTTACCATCGAAGGATCCACACAGGAGAAAAACCATACAAATGCCTGGAGTGCGGGAAGAATTTCAGGCGAAACTGTTATCTTAAGAAACACAAAAGAATGCACACCGGTGAGAAACCTTACAAGTGCTTCGAGTGTGGAAAGAACTTCAGTGTTCGCTCCGATCTGAATTGTCACAGGAGGATCCATACAGGGGAGAATAAGTGTTTGGAATGTGGAAAGAGTTTCAAATGCCTGAGTCATTTTATTTGCCATAAAAGAATTCATACGAGGGAGAAACCATTCAAATGCTCCGAGTGTGGAAAGGGCTTCAGTCAGAAAAATCACCTTTCACAACACACAAGAATCCACACAAGAGAGAAACCATAAGCTCGGGAGCGTTCATCACAAGTGTTTTCTTCTAAAGAGAGACCCACGTGCGAAAAACACCAGAAATATGTTGATTTTGCAGTAACGTTCAGTTGAAAAAGGAGCCTCATCAGATCTAAATGAATCCATGTTGGAGAGCCATAAAGTGTAGAAATGGTTAAAATGTGTCACTGCCCTTATTTCCCATAGGACAGACTATGCCCTCCAAGAAAATACATATCTGAGTTTGGATGAACTTCATGGATGCTAAACCTGCCGACTGAAGAGCTGATCCATACAGGAGAGACAGTACATCAAGAAACGGAGCAATGCAACTATTTTAAGGGGACATGTCTTCTTAAATATCAGAAAAGTTCCGCTCAGGAGAAAAAACTGTGGAACATGGAGAGGGTTGGTGGGGTTTTTTGCTTAAGACTTCACCAACAGATCATGAGTCCCTCTCCCTATTGTTAGACCAATTTTGAATATTTTTCCTGAGGTAATCAGGGACTGTTTTATCAGAGGCTGACGAGGATCATATGGTTGGTCAGGATTAAAGTCCCATGAAAACAGACTGAGGCTAATGGGAATATTTAGCTTTGTAAAAAAAAACAACAACCCAGGAAGCATATAATATTCCCGTGGAAGCATTTGATGCGATGTCCCATAGAACAAAGGAAAGATTTATCCTGCAGTGCAGAATGAACATGGCAGAATCTGATTTAATGTTTTAAAAAATTATTGTGATAGTGGTAAAACTTAAAACACACAATAACTACCTCTGCTGACACCAACCCCATAATTTTAAAAAAAACAGGATTACATCTCCTCCTCTCCAAAACTCCACATTTTGTGCAACTTTGTAAAAAGTTTACTACAGTGCTTGTCCTTTAATTTTAGAATAAAATATTTGAGGGGTGTTTTTCCCCCCTAAGGAGCACACTTACTTTCTTATGCTGAATCTTTTTTTTTTTTTTTGCTACAACAGTAGATAAATTTTCCTCATTTTTTATTTTGTATCTCTAGATAGGGGTCTGTTGCTTCAAAATAGTGTTGTTTTCCTCATTATTCAAAGTCATAAGTCTCTGTTATTCTGAATAAATAAATGGAACAGAGAGAAGTATTATATGGAATGTAAGAATGGATTAGGGTGGGAAGGAGGAAAACCACCATGCTTTACCTGTTACAGCATTTAGTTAATCCTCTGTGAACTTGATTCCCATATAGGTTTGTGAGAGGGAATGAGGAGTTAATGGAAATAAGGACCGGGTGGACTAAGGAGCTGCAGTCTTGTGTAAGGGAGAAAAAAAGCTTGACAGTTGATCAGAAAATAAAGCTTCCCCTTTTATTAGAAGAACGTTTAATGATATAGTAGTCTGGAATTTGCTGTTGACTGTTCCAAGTTGTATGATTGGTAAGCAAGATTGGAGCAGCGGAAGTATCATGAGAAGGGTTAAATTATGTAGGACAGTTTCTCTAAATGTTAGGATTTTAGGGATGTTATAACCAGCTAGGATACAACTGTTTTTTTTAAAAGATATATTAATCTATCCGTGGTTATGACACAGGAAAAGCGTAAGTTAGGTTCAAGAAGAAACAGTTTGGTAAATCATTTTTTGGGAAGATCTAATAGTAGTGTAAGTGTTCTATTTTAAGCTAATGAAAGCCTTACAGTTAGAAAAAAAAATATCTGAAGACTTATTTTTCCTCAAAGAGAAGTTCGATAATAAAATTACAACATTGGCGGATAATAATAATAATAATAATGATGATGATGATGTTGGAAGGGACCTTGGAGGTCATCTAGTCCAACCCCCTGCTCAGGCAGGAAACCCTATACCATTTCAGATAAATGGCTGTCCAGTCTCTTCTTAAAAACTTCCAGTGTTGGAGCATTCACCGCTTCTGGAGGCAGGTTGTTCCACTGGTTAATTGTTCTAAGTGTCAGGAAGTTTCTCCTTATATACCTTCCGAATCAGAATCAAATTATATTTATGCAAAATGTAATGAAATGAAATGTTTTAAACAATCTCATTAAGCTTTAATATTTTAAAGACCAACTTTTATGTTAAAGCAAAATAATTGATAGGAATTGGCAAAAAACAGTGATGGCAAGAAGATATATTAAAGAAAAGGCAGGTCACTTTGTTACTAGAACTAAAAGTATCTGTAAAAAGTATCTTGAATTCGTTAAAGAATCATACACCTACAAGCAGAACAGAAAAAAATAAATATTTCAGTAAATAAATATTTCAGTAAATTGAATCTTCCTCTGGTTTTGCAGCAGGCTCTTATATGTAACAACAACAACAATAATGATAGAGTTGGAAGGGACCTTTGAGGTCATCTAGTCCAACCCCCTGCTCAGGCAGGAAACCCTATACCATTTCGGACAAATGATTGTATTTTTTTCATTCACAGGCTTATTCATATCAACATTCCACCAGTTTTACTATCCTGCTTCCGTTAGTGTAACTCCTCACTTTTTTGCAGCACTTTCAATCTGTTGGGAGGGAACAATATCCATATGCTTTTTCCCTAAGCTTAACCCTCAAGAAATTGTATATAAGAGCTTTATAAAGTGTAAATGGCTTTACGTAGCAGAGATGCAGAAAGCCTGAAGTACATAAAAGGTAAGAATCTAAAAAGGAAGAATGGGAACATTAGAAACTTATAGGGGAGTGTGTATTATATATATATATATATATATATATATATATATATATATATATATATATGTATGTATGTATGTAGGTCTTTGGTTGTTCGGGTTTTCTCCCGCGTAAAATTGGAAGTGTCTTGGCGACGTTTCGACAAAGTCCCATTCGTCATCTTCAGGCTGGTGTTTTCAGCTTCGTGCTTTGAGCTGCTCAAAGCACGAAGCTGAAAACACCAGCCTGAAGATGACGAATGGGACTTCGTCGAAACGTCGCCAAGACACTTCCAATTTTACGCGGGAGAAAACCGAACAACCAAAGACCTAAATACAAATACCCGCGAAAACCTCAGAAAACATATATATATATATATATATTATATATATATATATATATACACACACACTCCCCTATATGTTTCTAATGTTCCCATTCTTCCTTTATATAATGTAGGTCTTTGGTTATTTGGGTTTTCTCCCGCGTAAAATTGGAAGTGTCTTGGCAACGTTTCGACGAAGTCCCATTCGTCATCTTCAGGCTGGTGTTTTCAGCTTCGAGGATTAATTGCTCCTTGAAGCACGAAGCTGAAAACCACCAGCCTGAAGATGACGAATGGGACTTCGTTGAAACGTCACCCAGACACTTCCAATTTTACGCGGGAGAAAACCCGAAAAACCAAAGACCTACATACAAACACCCGCGAAAACCTCAGAATATATATATATATATATATATATATATATATATATATATATATATATATACACACCATACATAAAAGGCACCACAGACAGAATCAGTAAGATCCTCCATAAACACAACATCAAAACAGCATTCTGCACAAACAGAAAAATATCCACCATCCTTAGAAACCCCAAAGATAAAATTGAATTAGAAAATCAAGGAGTATACGAAATCCCATGCACCACTTGTCCCACCACATACATCGGACAAACCAACAGAAGAATAAGTGCACGCATTGAAGAACATAAGAACTCAGTCAAAAAAGAGGAACCAACATCTTCCCTGGTCCAACACCTTAAAGCCACAGGACATGAAATTGACTTTAAAAATACCAGAACCATTGCCAAAAGTGAACATTTTAATAACAGAATAATCAGAGAAGCCATCGAGATAGAAAAACGCCCACACAGCATGAACAAGCGAGATGATACCTCCCGCCTACCAGCCATTTGGAAACCCGCCCTTATTGACAAACGACTCCCTAATACAAAAAATGATACCAGACCCACACTCACAAAAACCACACAGGATGTCACCACCACACATCCACGCAAAAAGCAAACCCAAAGCCACACCGATGATGAGGCACGACCACAAACCAGAAGCCAGACCAGAGCTGCATCATTAGCCACTTTAAAGCCCTCCAATCCATACATGAAGCAAACTGACACCCTCCATGAAAATGAGGCACGACCACGAACGCGAAGCCAAAAAATAGCAAGGCAGCCCAAAATCTTAAACCCCTCTGCAACTCAGACTAACCTGAGCACAACCAAACAGAACACTCCCCCAGCCAATCAGAGCACAGCCAACCCCCCAGCCAATCAGAGCACAGCCAACCCCCCAGCCAATCAGAGCACAGCCACGCCCCTAACCAATCAGAACACACCTCCACCCAATCAGAACACAGCCAAGCTCCCACCCAATCAGTTCATACCCCCACTGGCAGTTAAAAGGAAGAAACAGCTAAGACCACACATTGCTGCTCGAAGCAGGAAGCTGAAAACACCAGCCTGAAGATGACGAATGGGACTTCGTCGAAACGTCGCCAAGACACTTCCAATTTTACGCGGGAGAAAACCCGAACAACCAAAGACCTACATATATATATGTATGTATGTATGTATGTATATGTATATGTATATGTATACTTTTCACACTCTACATACACACTCTACATACACATAGGTATGAGACAAAACTTGTACACATTGTGCCTAGCTTATAGTGTTGAATCCCAAGCACAGCCAGAAATCACAATCTGACATATTTGCAATACTGCTGCACAGTATACAATACAGGTAATCCTTGACCCTTAACCATACAATTGCCTGGAGTGTGGAAACAACTTCACTTTCAGCAGCCAATTTATTTACCATAGAAGGGTTCACACGGAGAAACCGTATAAATGTGTGGAGTGTGGAAAAAGTTTCAGCGCAAGCTCACATCTCACGTATCATTCAAGAGTGCACACAGGAGAGAAACCATATGAAAGCATGGAGTGTGGTAAGAACTTCAGTCAGAACAGTAACCTTATGAAACATAAACAAATTCACGCAGGAGAGAAACTGTAATTCTTGTAAAGGAGCCACATGGGAAAAACGAGAAATATGTAGAGTGTAGGAAGATGTGCTGTCAGAAGTGTGTCCTTATGTATTTATTTTCTGTGCTTTATCTTTTTAAATAAATAACTCAAGTGGTGAACATACTGTCAAGTTCCGGCTAAAAAGCCCAATGAAGCAAAACATCAGACATTGCGATCTCTAATGTAAATTTTATTAGGCATTAGCAAACCGGTACGATGGAAAGAAAGCTAGCTCTGAGAATATAGCAGAAAACAGATAATTAAAAAGTAAAACTTTCCCTCTGCTCTCTGACCGTTCAGGTCACATTGTCCAATTAATCTTCCAATAATTATGAGAAGAAACTTTGGTTCTCCAAAACATTTCTTCAGCGGCTTCGGCTGTCATGCTGATAGGGAGGACCTATGGATCCCAAACTCTTCTCCCCTCCCCCCTGTACCTTTAGACAAGCTAGAAGCGCTATGGTGGTCCTAAAGACAGTAAATTTCATAGCTTAACACATACCTAATTACTCATTCCTATCCTCCCCACAGCAACAACTCTATGAGGTAGTTTAAGTTGAGAGACAGTGCCTGGCCCAAAATTATCCATATGAAATGTAAAGGAATGTGAAGGAAAATGTAATAACAGCTGGTGTATGGAAATCTTTCAAAAATCACTGCCTTCAGGTTTCATAAATGGCTGTTATACAACTTACAAAAAGTTGTAAGAAATTTCTGATTCTCATACTGCCCTTATGAAAGAAAACACAAAACGGACATAAATCTCTTTGATTGGGTGCCATCCAGGAGTTGTTGAAAGATGGGTGGCTATATAAATATTTTAAATGCAGTTATGTCAAAGGTGCCTAAAGAAGGATATAAACGATTGTTGACCATCAGTTCAAATGAAATAAAGTCTCACATAGAAGAACGGAAAGGTTTAATTTCTGTTGATCTGGTTGAAAAGAAAAATGTTATTATGATAGTAGTAAAATGATCAAGGAAGGCCAATGATCTTATCAGCAATAAGTTCCTTGGTGCTCTCTGATCTTGGTTGTTTTCTTGCAGACGTTTCATTACCCAAACTACATTGACTAGCTGTTGGAATACATGTTAGAACGGTGTTTCTCAACCTCAACAGCTTTACAATTTGTGGACTTCAAGTCCCAGAATTCCTCAGCCGGCATGCTGGCTGGAGAATTCTGGGAGTTGAAGTCCACATATCTTAAAATTGTTGAGGTTGAGAAACACGGTGTTAGAATGTATTTTGTATTGCAACAACTGCAGAAATATTCAGTGCTTAGTGTGCATCTATGGTTATAAGGTATGGTTTCTTTATGTTCTAGAGCAGTGTTTCCCAAACTTGACCATTTTAAGGCATGTGGACTTCAACTCCCAGAATTCCACAGCCAGCAATGCTGGCTGTGGAATTCTGGGAGTTGAAGTCCACATGCCTTAAAATGGTCAAGTATAGTTTGACGCCCTCTTCTTTGTGGACCCTTCCAGCTCCGTTATTGAGCCTCGCGGATCCCCTCTCAAAGACAATTGGAATCCTCCCTTCAAATCCCCTGGAATTCACAGATTCAAATCCATCCAATAATCCTGCAAGCGTTGTAGTTTTTCCGCTCTCCTCCCTTCAGACTGGGACGGAGCATGCGCTGGAGAGCTTGGCGAGCAATTGGCTACTGCAAGAAAAAAGCGGGGGGGGGGGGGCGGCCGCCCTTTAAGGATGGGTGGAAGGCTGCCGGAATGTTGCCTGTCTAGGAAGATGCGCTTTCTCTTGTCCCGCATTCCGAACCTTCCCCCCCCTCCCCCCGGAGTCGGCGAGGGTGGGGGGACTGCCGGAGTGTTGCCTCTCTAGGAAGAAGCGCTCTCTCTTTTTCTCTCGCCCCGCATTCCAAGCTCCCCCCCCGCGAGGCGGCGAGGGCGGGGCTAATTGAAGAGCCGGGATTTTTGTTGCCCAGATTCGGGGATCGTGGGGAAGCACGAACCCGTGTGTCCAAAAGGCTTTCTTTTCCGGGAAGGCTGGGAGGGAGGTGGTGAGTGGGGCGTCCCAAAAAGAGGGTGGGTGAGTGAAGCCCAGCGCAGGCAGAGAGAGGCCGGTTCAGCTCCGCTCCGGCTTTCCCCGCTGTGTGTCTCCTTCGGCGGGTACCGCGATCCGGGGAGGAGCGTCTGAATCGCCTCCCCCGCCGGCCAGCCGTGGGATTGACTTAGAGGACCCAGGAGGCAAAGGGGAGGCGACGCTCGCCTGCTTTGCAATTGGGTTTATGGCCCTGGGTGGCTTAGCAAGCGGGTGAGCCGGTCGTGGGAACCAGATCGTGGGGGGGGGGGGGGGGAACCGGCAAGAAGCGCATCTCGGAGGCCTTCCAGAAGTGGTGGCTGCTCCATCCCCTAGAAGCTTTCCAGAAACGATTGGGACCGCCACCCGTCTGAATGGGTATATAGGGTCTTCCGCTTGAGCAAAGGGGTTGGATTAGATGACCTCCAAGGTCCCTTCCAGCTCTCTAGCCCGACGGATTGATTGAAGCCTTATTTGTAGGTGTGAGATTGCTCAGCTTTTGCTTCAGACTCTTCCTCCCTGTCTTAGAAGCCCTTGCAGGTGGTGTATCTGCTGGTCCACAGCAAAGCTGTTCAACGTCCCAGAGGCTCCTCGCTAGATGCGGGCCGAGAAGGAGAGGAGCTGAATTGACGCCCGTGAAGGAAGCTCGGCCTGCCTGGCCCGCAAGATGGACGTGCCGAAGTCAGGCAGAGAGTGGAGAAGAGCTTCAGGCCTTCCTGAAGCTGAGCCCGAGGAAGGTGGAGAGGCCTGGGCCGCCGGAGCCAAGCGGGAGACCCTCCCCGAGGACCCGCCGGACTCAGAGGCCCAGCGCTTCCGCCCCTTTGGCTACCAGGAGTCGGCGGGGCCCCGGGCAGTCTGCACCCGCCTGCAGCAGCTTTGCTATCGATGGCTGAAGCCCGAGAAGAGCAGCAAAGCTCAAGTGGTGGACCTGGTGATCCTGGAGCAGTTCCTGGCCGTGCTGCCCCCGGAGATGGCGGGCTGGCTGAGGGAGTGCGGAGCGGAGAGCTGCTCCCAGGCGGTGGCCCTGGCCGAAGGCTTCTTGCTGAGCCAGGCCGAGGAATGGAAGCAGCAGGTGAGAGGCTCCGTCCTCGGAGGATGCCCTCAGGAGGATGGTCCTTCTTTCCTTTGCTGCGTTGCTCACCACAAATGCGGGTTGTAGCAATTGAAGTGGTTGCCCTCCCCCTTCGGTGCCATCCAGACTTCTATTTCTTTGTCCAGATCATTCCACAGGAGGGAGGAGAATCCCAAGGGAGTTTGCATCTTCACCTATGGCAGTGTTTCCCAAACTTGACAATTTTAAGGCATGTGGACTTCAACTCCCAGAATTCCACAGCCAGCGTTGCTGGCTGTGGAATTCTGGGAGTTGAAGTCCTCATGCCTTAAAATTGTCAAGTTTGGGAAACACTGACCTATGGCAGGGGTAGGCCACCTTGGCTCTTTTATGACTCCTAGACTTCAACTCCCAGAATTCCTGAGCCAGCCATCTGAGGGGAAAGGGAGAGGTTTCCAAGCTGAGCCATGCTGGCTCAGGAATTCTGGGAGTTGAAGTCCATAAGTCATAAAGCGGCCTAGGCCTAGGCCAGAGGTAGGCAAACTTGGGTCTTTTATGATTTGTGGACTTCAACTCCCAGAATTCCTCAGCCAGCCATGCTGAGGGGAAAGGGAGAGGTTTCCAAGCTGAGCCATGCTGGCTCAGGAATTCTGGGAGTTGAAGTCCACGAGTCATAAAGCGGCCTAGGCCAGAGGTAGGCAACCTTGGCTCTTTCATGACTCGTGGACTTCAACTCCCAGAATTCCTGAGCCAGCCATGCTGAGGGGAAAGGGAGAGGTTTCCAAGCTGAGCCAGGCTGGCTCAGGAATTCTGGGAGATGAAATCCACGAGTCATAAAAGAGCCAAGGTTGCCTACCCCTGACCTATGGATATAAGATGGTCCAGCTTTGAAGGCATAACAGAATTCCCTTGTTCCAATGTTCAGTTGTTGTAACTTTGGTTCTCCTGTGATTCTGGCTGTTATTTCAGATGCAGGAGCCTTTAATGAAGGCAGTTGTGGTATCTCCCGAAGGAAGAGAAGGTCTTTCTGGTCCCTCTACGCAGCAACCGTTGGGAAGGATCCCCGAGGAGGATCCAAGTCAGTTCATGTTGCCACGTAAGTGAAAATCAGTTCTGAGGGCCTTGAAGTTTGAAGTGCTTTCGTTCATGTGCTGTTTTTACACACAAACGCAAAATTTGGGCCGGGGTTAGTTTATAGTGTTTCCCTTTTATCTCAGTCACAGGGAGTGGGAGGCTGCTGATGGAAATTGCTGAAGCATCTCCTCTGTGTGGGGGAACAACAGCTCAGGTAGGCACAGAAATCTTTGTGGGGCAGTGGGGATGTCTGGTTTTGCCATGGGATTCAATGCAGAGCCTTGAGATCAGGAGTTGGTTTGGCCCCACTTTCAAATGGTTATTTAAGCACAACCCTGTTGTTGGTAATTGTGAAGTCGTGTCCGACCCATCGCGACCCCATGGACAACGTTCCTCCAGGCTTCCTGTCCTCTACCATCTTCTGGAGTCCATTTAAGGTCACACCTCCTGCTTCAGTGACTCCATCCATCCATCTCATTCTCTGTCGTCCCTTTCTTCTCTTGCCCTCCATCTTTCCCAGCATTAGGCCCTTCTCCAGTGAGTCCTTCCTTCTCTTTAGGTGGCCAAAGTACTTGAGTTTCAACTTCAGGATCTAGCCTTCTAAAGAGCAGTCAGGGTTGATCTCCTCTAGGACTGACTGGTTTGATCACCTTGCAGTCCAAGGGACTCGCAGGAGTCTTCTCCAGCACCATAGTTCAAAGGCCTCAATTCTTTGGCGCTCAGCCTTTCTTATGGTCCAACTTTCACAGCCATACATTGCAACTGGGAAAACCACGGCCTGGACTATACGCACTTTTTTTGGCAGGGTGATGTCTGCACAACCCTATGTCACACCAAAAGCGAAATCAAAGCTGGAGATACACGTAACAATTCCCCAATACAAAGTCATTTTAATATATTTACTTTTATTAAACCATTAGTAGGACTCCTCACAATGTGTTAATAAATACAGCAATTAAATGATAACACTAAGAATTGATTAGCATTAAATCAGTTGTCCCAAAGGTGCTTTTTCACAAGGCAACTGGACTTTTTCATTTTTCTTTGAAGACGTTTCACTTCTCATCCAAGAAACTTTTTCAGCTCTGACTGGATGGTGGGGAAGGGAAGAATTTATACTCCTTGCAGACAGCTGGTCATTTGCCTTCTTTAATTTAGAGAGTCATGGAGGCCACCTGGAGGTTTATCTGTGTCATCAGGATAGTGAGTAGTGCACCTGTGTAGTGCAAATGGCTGTGCAGCCTTGGAACTGTTGAAAAGACTGTGGTATAGACTGGAGATAGATGATGTCGTATCCCTCCCCCCCTGTTGAGAGGGGACTGTTCAATTTTGACATAGATGGCCTCTTTGACCCCTCTTTCAAACCAGCAATCCTCTCTGTCCAAAATGTGGACTTTGCTGTCTTTGTGTCTTGGATGAGAAGGGAATCCTCTTCAAAGAAAAACAAGAAAGTCCAGTTGCTTTGTGAAACAGCATCATTGGGACAACCATGACCTGAATGACTGAGAATCTCCATAGACATTAAATAAGTTCATAAACACATCAGATTAAAATATGTTTATACCAAGTTCGTATTTATACAAGGTGGTTGCTCCTGCAAAAATAAATCTTGGGGTGTAAAAAAAGAAATAAAAGATAATAATAATAATAATAATAGTAGTAGTAGTAGTAGTAGTAGTAGTAAAGTTGGAAGGGACCTTGGAAGTTATCTAGTCCAACCCCCTGCTCAGGCAGGAAACCCTATACCATTTTGGACAAATGGCTGTCCAGTCTCTTCTTAAAAACTTCCAGTGTTGGAGCATTCACCGCTTCTGGAGGCAGGTTGTTTCACTGGTTAATTGTTCTAACTGTCAGGAAGTTTCTCCTTAGTTCTAGGTTGCTTCTCTCCTTGCTTAGTTTCCATCCATTGCTTCTTTTCCTGCCTTCAGGCGCCTTTGAAAATAGCTTGACTCCCTCTTCTTTGTGGCAGCCCCTGAGATATTGAAACACTGCTATCATGTTTCAAAGAGAAGCATGTCAGACAAATTCACACAGTTCTGAAGATGAATCATGCCAGGAAGAAACTCCAACCGTGCAAATGGATCAGGGTGCCACTCCTCCCCTGCGCACCTCTATGATTCCATGTTCTCCCCAGGAAGAATTCTCAAAGATGGCCACCTTATTAAACTGCAACCTAGAGGTTCAAGTTCCATCTTGGTTGCATTTGTGAATATTCCAAAGGGATAGTAAATCTTACAAGAGGCATCTGATTTTGTAAAAAAAAAAAAAAAAAAAGCATTTTCTCTTTTACAAAACTTTGCTATTTAAGATACACGAAATCTGGGACAGAACTTCCGGGATGTTTTCTGAAGAACATACCCTTTGATTTCCAGAGCTTTGTGTCTCTCCAGGATGGTTATGTTTTTACTTCAACATGCATGTTTTGTGCACTTGTGAATGCTTCCAAAGTGAATTTAAATGTAATCTAAAACCAGGTAGTATGTCATGTGAGAAAAGGGGCGTTTTCTCTCTTGGAAAATGGGGGGGGGGTATTGGAAATCTAGAAGGAGACTTTCTGGGACTTCTGCTGAGGAACATATCCTTTGACTTTCAGGGTTTGATATCCTTTGAGGAGGTGGCTGTGTATTTCACGGAGGAGGAATGGAGGCTGCTGGATCCCAGCCAGAGAGCCTTACACGGGGAAGTCATGCTGGAGAATGCTAGGAATGTGGCCGCTCTGGGTAAGGACCTGTTTTGCTCTGGGTTCAATTAATTGTGGAAAGTCTTTTGTCCTAAGTGCTAAGAGCACCTGGCTAGAATAAGCACAGGAAAAATATGCCCTGTGTCTCCCTCTTGATTTCTGTTCCTAATAATAAGGTGACCAACTTTTTTACAATGAGAAGGACACAAATAAATTGAAGACAAAAAATATCGTAAATAAAACATTTTATTCATTGCAACAATACAGAATACACTATAATACAGTGGTGGCGAACCTATGGCATGGGTGCCAGAGGCGGCACTCAGATCCCTCTCTGTGAGCACGCGTGCCGTTGTCCCAGTCATAGGCCTTCAGCTGGGTTTTATGAAACCTTTTCACTTTAGGCCTCTACAGAAAAAAAAAAGGTTCAGTCAATCAGCCAATTTCAAGTTCTTGTGGGGAAAAAAAAGATCTTGCAAAGTTGGAATTGATTGATTGAACTTTTTAGTCCCACCCAGTCTGCTGTTACCACTGTAGCCATGCCCACCCAATGGGCCACACCCACCCAATGGGCCACACCCAGCCAATAGGCCACACCCACCCGGCACTCGACAATGCATAAGTGGGTTTTGAGTTGCAGTTGGGGCACTCGGTCTCTAAAAGGTTCCCCATCACTGCTATAATACGATAAATGTATAATAAAAAACGTTTGTAACAATAACAGTTTATATTGTAATTATGCTTACGTGCCTATTAATTATTATTTAAATGAGTACAAAAGAAGGACTGTCCTCCCTAAAGGAGGACGATTGGTCACCTTACTAATAACCATCCAATTTCCTAGGTCAGTGATGGCGAACCCTTTAGAGACCGAGTGCCCAAACTGCAACCTAAAACCCACTTATGCATTGTCGAGTGCCTGATGGGTGTGGCCTATTGGCTGGGTGTGGCCCATTGGCTGGGCGTGGCCCATTGGCTGGGCATGGCCACAGTGGTAATGGCAGACTGGGTGAGACTAAAGAGTTCAATCAATCAATTCCAACTTTGCAAGATCTTTTTTTTTTCCCGTGAGAAGTTGAAACTGACTGATTGAACTTTTTTTTTTTGCACACGGCGGCAGAGGCCTAAAGCAAAAAGGTTTTATAAAACCCAGCTGAAGGCCTAGGACTGGGACGACGGTGTGCATGCCCACAGAGAGGGGGGAGTGTTTCTGGGAGGGTAGGGAGGTAGTGGGAGAGGGATTTTATTGTAAAATTGCAAAAAATTTTAATTAAAAATACACACACACACACAAAAAAAAAACCCAGAAATACCTCATAATACCCCATAGAGCACAGAGAAGAACAACAAAGATGATCAGGGGACTGGAGGCTAAAACGTATAAAGAACGGTTGCTGGAATCAGTTGCTGGAATTGGGTATGTCTAGTTTAATGAAGAGAAGGACGAGGGGGGACATGATAGCAGCCTTCCAATATCTCAGGGGCTGCCCCAAAGAACAGGGGGGTCAAGCTATTCTCCAAAGCGCCTGAAGGCAGGACAAGAAGCAATGGATGGAAACTAATCAAGGAGTGAAGCAACCTAGAACTAAGGAGAACTTTCCTGACAGTTATAATAATTAATCAATGGAACAACCTGCCTCCAGAAGTTGTGAATGCTCCAACACTGGAAGTTTTTAAGAAGAGACTGGATAACTATTTGTCTGAAATGGGTATAGGGTTTCCTGCCTATTCTATTCTATTCTATTCTATTCTATTCTATTCTATTCTATTCTATTCTATTCTATTCTATTCTATTCTATTCTATTCTATTCTACTCTACTCTACTCTACTCTACTCTACTCTACTCTACTCTACTCTACTCTACTCTACTCTACGCTATTCTACCCTACCCTACCCTACCCTACCCTACTCTACTCTACTCTACTCATAAAATTAAGAGGGAATAATTGCAGAGGCAAAAAATAAAATAGAAATTTGGTTCTTTTCAATCATACAAAGAACTCAGTAAAATCTTAGATATACAGAAATAACAGGTGCAGCTTTTTTTTCTATTGTGTAATGATGAACTTTTTTTTTTCTCCAAACCAGGTTATAGACAGGAGCAAATTAATTATAAGGAGCCCGGTGTAGCGCTATTACAAATGATCAAGTCTGAAGACGGAATGCTTGGAAATCAAGGGACATCACAAAGCAGTAAGAAAAGTTGCATAATGTATGGAAGGAAGAGCTCTTCTCCTTTTGGATATAATGAATTCCTTGACTTCTCAACCCAGCGAGCTCAACAACGAGAAGATAAAGGAAAATTTAGTGGATGTGGTGAAAGAGACAACAAGAAGTTTGGTTTCCGTAAATATTGTATAACCCAGACTGATGAGGAACAATGTGAATATCAAGAGGATGGGAAGAAGGTCAATTATACCTCTTCTGTTAATTTACATTACCAATCGTATCTCAAAGACACGCCCTATACATTTATAAATTGTGAGAAAAGTTTTGATTTGAGCAGTCATCCTATTTCCCATAACAGTGAAAAACAGTGTGAGTATGAAGAGAATTCCAGTAAGAAACAGTTGCTTATTTCACCCGCAGAAACTCCCCCAAAGGAGAAACCATATAAATGTTTGCAGTGCGGAAAGGCCTTCACACAGAGATGTAAACTTACCATACATGAAAGAATCCACACAGGGGAAAAGCCGTACGTGTGCCTGGTCTGTGGAAAGACCTTCACTCAGAGATGTAAATTAATCATACACGAAAGAATCCATACAGGGGAGAAACCGTATATATGCCTGGTGTGTGGAAGGAGATTCAACCAGAGTGGTCACCTTACAAGACATAAAAGAACCCACACTGGGGAGAAACCATACACTTGTCTGAAGTGTGGAAGGCAATTCAGTGAAAGTTCAAGCCTTGTGATGCACGTAAGAAGCCACACGGGAGAGAAACCATATATATGTATGGAATGCGGAAAGAGCTTCCGTCAAAACAGTGTCTTTGTTTGCCACAGAAGGATCCACACAGGAGAGAAACCGTACAAATGCTTGGAGTGTGGAAAAAGCTTCAGTCAGAACAGTAGCCTTTTGAAACATAAAAGAATCCATACAGGGGAAAAACCATATCAGTGCCTGGACTGTGGAAAGAGTTTCAGTGTGCGCTCGGATCTTACCTATCATAGAAAAATGCACACGGGAGAGAAATCATTTCAGTGTTCGGAATGCGGGAAGAGCTTCAATTGCAGCCGTTACTTTATTCGTCACAAAAAGATCCACACAGGAGAAAAACCATACAAATGCGTGGAGTGTGGAAAGAGTTTCAGTCAGAACAGTCACCTTGTCAAACATAAAAGGATTCACACCGGGGAGAAACCGTATCAGTGCCTGGAGTGTGGTAAGAGTTTTACTGCAGCCTTACATCTTACATATCACAGAAGAATGCACACGGGGGAAAAACCATATAAGTGTTTGGAATGTGGAAAGAGTTTCAACTGCAGCAGTTATTTTATTTGCCATAAAAGGATACACACGGGGGAGAAACCTTACAAGTGTTTGGAATGTGGAAAGCGGTTCAATAGAAGCAGTCATCTCTCTTATCATAAAAGGATGCATACAGGAGAGAAACCGTATAAATGCACAGAGTGTGGAAAAAGCTTTTCGTATAACAATGGTCTTAGATACCATCAAAGAATCCATACTGGGGAGAAACCATATACCTGCTTGAAGTGTGGAAAGACGTTCAGTGCCAGTGCAAATCTGATGATGCATGTAAGAATCCACACAGGGGAGAAACCATATAAATGTCTGGAGTGCGGAAAGAGCTTCCGTCAGAACAGTGTCTTTATTTGCCATAAAAGGATCCACACGGGGGAGAAGCCGTACAAATGCACGGAGTGCGGCAAGAATTTCCGTCAGAACAGCAACCTTATCATACATAAAATAATTCACACGGGAGAGAAACCGTACAACTGCACAGAGTGTGGAAAGAGCTTCAGTCACAAAAGTCACCTCACGAGACATAAAAAAATCCACACGGGAGAGAAGCCCTGCAAGTGCACAGATTGTGGAAAGAGTTTTAGTCGAAATAGTCACCTTACGAAGCATAAAAGAATCCACACAAGAGAGAAATCGTAACTTGGGAGTTTTCATCACTCAAGTATTTTCTTCTCACAAAGGGACACAACAAGGAAAGAAACAATAGAAATTTGTTGACTGTTCAGTTGCAGCAGTAAGTAGCCTAATCAGACCTAAAGGAATTCACATATGGGAGAACCATAAAAACACCTGAAGTTCATTTCTCATTAAAAGTCGTATTGTGGGAAGAATGCCTGGAATAAATGAAAATTGATTACCGTATATGCCGGCGTATAAGACGACTTCCGGAAGCGCTAAACTCGGCGCCAAAGACGGGGGTCGTCTTATACGCCGAGTCATCTTATACGCCGGAAATACTGGTAGTTTCCGACGTATAAGATGACGTTCTAGGAAGGCGACTCGGCGATAAAGACGGGGGTCATCTTATACGCCGGGTCGCCTAATATGCCGGTATATACGGTACCAGGACTGCCTTTTTTTTCCTTAAAAAAACAACAACACAAGAGAAAACAGATAAATGTGTGAGTTTGGTTGAGCTACATGGTCTTAAATGTGCAGTGTGTAGAAAGACTGTATCCATTTGGTATAAAAAGTACACCTAGGAATGGATCAAAGAAACTGTTTTAATGAGACCCCTTCAGCTTACATCCCAGAGACCTTCCACTCAGGAGAGAAACTGTAAATGAGTGGAATATCGAAAGGATAGTGATGGCTGAACCTGCAAGGTGGCCCTGATAAAAAGCAACTTCATTTTGTTACTCAAAAAGGAATCATAATCGTTGCCAAATAATATTTCTGACTGGTTCATCCCACATGTTAAGCCGTATTTCTTTGAAGGTGATACACGTAAGTGAAGATGAAGAGTTTTGATCATGACCTGTGGGTATCATTTTGATCCCCTGAAGAGATCTCTGATTAAAATCCTGGATCTGAGCTTTACTTCTTATAACTTCCTCCATTTGGTTCTTCTCAACATTATTACCAACCAATAATTATGAAATTTTGTAATTACTATTTTTTCTTCTTCCAAACAACCTGCAGTGTTTAATGTTCCAGATGGCCCAAGTTAGGCTTCGTTCCTCAAGTAGGCCTCAGTCGGTAACATTTGTTGAAACAAACAAACAAAAAAATCCTAAATATACATTCAAAACGTCTATGAAGATTCCCAGTCATCCAGGTCATAGTTTCCTGAATTTGGATTTCCACCATCCAGTCAGAGCTGAAGAAGCTTCTTGGATGAGAAGTGAAACGTCTTCAAAGAAAAACAAGAAAGTCCAGTTGCCTCGTGGAAAAGCATCTTTGGGATACATCCAAAACATTTTCTCTGACAATAAAGAAAATGCGAAAAGAGGAGAAAAGATTGAAAGGACTCTAAAAAGGAATGCCTGAAGAAGGAGGAATTATTGCTATTTATTATGATTATTATATATACACCAGAATGTGAAATCATAGCCGCCAGTTCTTTAGCTAGTGATGGTCTTCATATTATTATGGTTTGTTGCACAGTCAGCCGTTTGTTTAGACTGGATTTGGCATTATTACTATATTTTTAATCTCCCTTTTTTTTATATTTGAACACCCCAAGGTGGCAAATACAGGTCCTTGACTTACGACCACAATTGAGCCCAGAATTTATATTGCTAAGTGAGAAATTCGTTAAGTGAGTTTTGCCCCATTTTACGACTTTTCTTGCCACATTTGATAACTGAATCCCTGCAGTTGTTAAATTAGTCACACGGTTGTTAAGTGAATCCGGCTTCCCCATTGACTTTGCTTGTCAGAAGGTCGCAGAAGGGGATCGCATGACCCTGGGATGCAGTAATGGTCATAAATGTGAGTCAGTTGTCAAGCATCCAAATGTGAATCACGTGACCACGGGGATGGTGCCACAATCGTGTGAAAAAATGGTCTTAAGTCACTTTTTCAGTGCTGTTGTATCTTCGAATGGTCACTAAATGAACTGTTGTAAGTTGGGGACCACCTGTATACACAAATCTTTGCCTTTGTTCATAATACCCAAATCTCTCCTACTTCCCCCAAAATAATAGTCCTGTGCGGTGGCAAAGGTCAGGCTGAGAGCGAGCGATTGATAAAAGTCGCCCAAAATGTTTTGGTTAAAAATGAAAAGGTTGGCAAGGAGCATTTTAAAAAGGGACTTGAAGAAAACAAGCTATCAGTATACCCAATTGGTATCTATCAGTGGATTTGGTCAAAGGGGGAGAAAAAAATAGAACTTTTATTTTGCCTCATTTGTTGTGACCAAGGAAGTATGAATCCCTGTCCCCATTGTGAGAGCCAACATTAAGTAGTTCCCCCATTTAAGAGTGTCTGTGGAGATTCTGAGTCATCCAGGTCATGATTATCCCAAAGGTGCTGTTTTCACAAGGCAGATGGACTTGTTTTCTTTTGAAGACGTTTCGCTTCTCATCCGAGAAGCTTCTTCAGCTCTGACTGGATGGTGGGGAATGGAAGGATTTATATTCCTTGCAGAGAGCTGGTCATTTGCATTCTTTTAGAGGGTTGTTGAGGCCACCTGGAGGTTTATCTGTCCTCAGGGTCATCTGAGTGGTGCAAATGGGTGTCAAAATTGAACAGCTTTCTCTCAATAGACAGAATCTATCTCCAGTCCACAACACAGTCCTTTCAGCAGTTCCAAGAAGGCTCCACACCCATTTGCACTACTCGGGTGACCCTGAGGACACAGATAAACCTCCAGGTGGCCTCAACAACTGTCAAAAAGAATGTAAATGACCAGCTGTCTGCAAGGATTTAAAATCCTTCCATTCCTCACCATCCTGTCAGAGGTGAAGAAGCTTCTTGGATGAGAAGCGAAACGTCTTCAAGGAAAAACAAAGTCCAGCTGCCTCATGAAAAAAGCACTTCTGGGACCCCATTTAAGAGATTCAGACTGGAACTAGATTGGAGCCCAATGGGGTTCATCAGAGTTCAACTTAAATGCCATGAAAACAGACTGAAGCAGGTAGGAATGTTGAAAAAAAGGCAATCAGGAGGGATATAATATCCCCGTTGAAGCATTTGATGAAATGCCCTTTTGAAGAAAGCAAAGGCTTGTCTTGGATCGTCCCACGGTGCCGGATAAGTAATTGAATTTTACAAAAATGCCACGATGATGATAGTGGTGAAACTATCAAATACTCAATAAGTTCCTCAACTGAATCCCTGCTTAAAAGCAGGAACGCGCTTCCTCATCTCAAAAAGCCCATTTTTACCAACTCCGTAAAATGTTTGCTACAGTTTTGTCCCTTAATTTAAGAAGAATCAATTATTTAGGACTTCCCCCCCCCCTTTTCCTAAGGAGCACATTATTTTCTCCTCCATTTTTTGTCAGTAAAAGAGTAATTGAATTTCCCTCTTTTTTTCCTGATTCTGCATCTCCAGATAGGTGAGTTGCTTCAAATTAGTGCTGTGTTTTCTTCATTTTTTTCCAAAAGGGTGTGAAGGCGTAGCATGGCATGTGAAAAAAAGGAAACTACATTCTTAGAAACTTAAGACAACAAAATAAAGAGGGAACACATTTAACTAAACAAACTGAATTGGGCCAGGAAGGGCCACCTCAAATCCAATGATTATGTGAAATACTGTTCAGAGCGTGAGACTATCTGAAATAATGGGGGGCCATGATACTCAGAAAGGACTTTGCTGACTCTGTCCCCATCCATGTTTATTAAACAAGATCCATCATTTCCCAGCCAACAAAATCTATGCAGTAAGTATCTCGGATCGATGGCTGATGCTTAGTGTTGCTTTGGCATTTTTTGGTTTGCCTTTGACGGTTCCTCTATTCTTCAAATGTTTGAGCGCCTTCTGCTCTGAGACATGTGTTTGGTTGCCTGACCACATTCCTCAGAGGTGTTCTCCCCTCTTCAGGCCAAGTGCCATTTACTCTGGGAAGAAAGAGAGCTTCCCATATTTGAGGGTGAAGGTTCGTTCTCCGAGCTTGTGGGCTGGTTTCTGAATGTTTCGTTACCCAACTAGGTAACATCTTCAGTAGAGTTTAAATCCCCTAAACCAGGGCTTTTCAACTGGTGGTGGTACGCAAGCACCTGGCTGATGGTACGCAGCGTTGCCTTCTCCCCCGCTCCACTCCTTCCCAGCTCGCTTGCAGAAAACATGCTGCTTGGTGGCGGTCTGCAGGAACCCTACCGAGGGTGCGCGAAGAGCGCAGGCGCAGAGCGAGGCCCCGCCCTCCCCAGGGACTCATTGTGCAGCAACCGGATTGACTTCTTCTCGTACAGGATCTGTGTTTCCCTTCCCCCCTCTTCTTCAGAAGCAAGCGCGAGTCTGAAGGGGACAGAGCCATCCACTTCCTTGGCAGGTAGGTGTTTGAGACTGCCCGCGTCGCAGCCCTGACCACCAACCTCACAACCGCCCCTCCTTTCCCCCCTTCTCTGTCTTTGTTGTGGCCTCTCTCTCTTCCATTTTCTTTTCCTCTCTCCCCTCCCGCGAGCTTGTGATACCCCTCATGGCCCTCACGTTGTGTCCCAGGGCTCGAGACTTTCCCCGAGGTGCCCGGCTTTATGGAAGGGAAAGCAAAGTGGCCAGATGGTGCACGCCTTCCTGGAGGACTCATCCCGTGGCAGCAGGTGGGAATTGAGGCCCACATTTGTTTTGCTGATGTGCACCAGGTAAAGCCATCAATGCAGGTGTGGAGGGAAAAACGTGCCTGCCTGACTCCCTCCCCCCCACTGTTTCCCAGCAGGTAACCCTTTGCCATCTCCCTGACGGCCAGCTGGCCTGCCCACCAGTTTCCCCTTTCGGACCAGGAGAAGTGCACAGCGTTGTCTGTATCGCGGGATTAAAGATTTTTTTAACTCGCCGCTTTTAGAGGCAGTTTAGAGGCAAACTCCGTGAGGTGCGCATGGGGCGACAGTCTTGGTCGTCTTCCCCTCACTCTGCTTTTCCCCCCGCCCTTTTCTCAACAGCCTTGAACGCATGCTGAGGAGGAGCAGGGGCATCTGGACCTTTTTTTCTATGCTGCCACCAGTGCCAGCTCATTTTGGGCCAGGAGAAGCGCACAGCGTTGCCTGTATCGCGGGCTTAAAGTTTTTTTAATGAGCTGCTTTTAGAGGCAGTGTAAAGGCAAACTCCAGGAGGCACGCACAAGGCGAGTGTCTTGGTCATCTTCCTCCCCCTCATTCCGCTTTTTTTCCCGCCCTTTCCTCAATGGCCTTGAACGCATGTTAAAAAGGAGCAGGGGCATCCGGACCTTTTTCTGTCTGCTGCCGCTAGCGCCAACTCATTTCTTAGTTTCTGCTTGCTTTCTGCAAGCAAGTTAACTGGGTAGGAGCACAGGATCAGCGTGTGCAACTACAGCTCAGCTGTGCTCAGAAATGCCAATCACACACTCCTTCCCAGCTCACTTGTTTGCGGAAAGCGAGCGAGCGAGATTGCCGGGAGCCAGGGTAAAAAGGGTTTGTGCAACGTGTCTGAGAAGATGAAATGCCACCGCGTCTCCTGCCTGCTTTGCATGTGGTGAGCCTGGCAAGATGTAGGGCTGTAATTTGCCTGAAAGTCGCTGGAAGGGTTTGGTTGTGGGGCGGAGGAGGCAGGAGAGGACCGGGGCTCTGGCAGGTCTTGGGCTGTTGTTGCACTTTGTGGGTGAGGGCATGTGTGTGTGTATATATATACTTACACAATGCAGGGATACTTGGGGAAAGAACAACAAGCGGAGGACAGCGCGATCCGTAGGGAGGAGGAGCAGGACGAACAACAGCTTACTGAGCGTGGATGGTGGGGCAAGGTTAAGAATGATCCTGCAAACACTCCAGCCGATCGGACACGGATGAGATGGGGGAAGGGCACTGCAACGCATGCGCACACCTACGCGCGGAGAACAACTTGCCAAACGTGGACAGCAGAGCAGGACTGGGAATGATCCAGCAGCCCCTCTGATGGACGAGGCGGGGGAAGGGCACCACAATGTGCATGCACACCTATGCCTGAGGAACAACCGGAGTAGATGGGATCAACAGGAATAAACAGCAGAAGGCAGGAACAACAAGTGGATACACCAGAGGGGGAAGGAAGGAGTGGCAATGGAAGGGCACACAAAATGCCTGATCAAGATACACAGCCCATAATGACTGCAAGAGGGGGATGTTTTTTTTTTTGCTCCAGAGACATTTTACAATAAAACATAAAAAGCACACTGAAAAACCAGTAGCATTTTTTGTGAAGAGGAGAGATGAATTTATAAAATGCCGTGTTGCTTTCGTGAAGGCCACTACCATCTCCCAAAAATGTCTGGAAGCATCTTAACAATTATCCTTGATAGCAGCTAAACAAAATAAGCCTCACAATCATGGAAGAAGTCGTGATTCTCTCTGACATTGCAATTTTCTCAATTCTCTTTGATGGGAAAATGACTGGTGCTATTCGTAATATTCCATGTTCTGATAACACTGTCCAAAGACGAATACAAGATATGGCCACAGATGTTATTCAACAAGTGGTGGAAAAAATCACAGCAGCAGAAAAATTTGCATTTCAATTGGATGAAAGCACTGACATTGCTGTGAGGCACAATTAATTTTGTGCGTGTTCCTGATTTGGACGATACACTGGAACACATATTATGTTGCTGCCCACTACCTGGTAGAACGACTAGGGAAGAAATATTCATAATTATTAACAATTTTTTCAGTGAATATGGAATATTATGGACAGTGTGTAGGAATTTGTTCTGATGT